CTGTAAAAAGGACTTACTCTGAGCAATGTCGCGCAAAGCATAGATGACAATGCGCTTGCTGCCCTCGACCTTGATGATCTTGGCTGTACAATTCGGCATGCAGCTGTGGTTGATAAACCGGGCAATGCCACCCTTCTTTGTAGCATCAATGACAGTGTTGTCATCGATTCTGAAGAGGTAACTACTGCCAATACCACTCTTGAGATAACGATTCTCGCGCAATTCGGCAATTTGCTGGCGGACTTCCTCGCCGACATACTCAATAATCATGTCGTCCTTGTTGATGTTCTCCATAGCATAAAGACCCCAATTGTGGATCGCTGAGCGAGCAAACTTGACGGGCTTTTTGCGCTTCTTAAGCTGGTTGAACCGAAGGACATCAGAATCTTGACCCAGCGTTCGTTTCTGATCGTTGAGATCGGCCACAAAACGTCGGTTGTTGACACGGTTGGCTCGTGAGTTGCCTTTGGCAACGAGCTTCTCAGCAGCAAGCCTTGCAGCTTCTGCAGCTGCGGCGACAGTGTCTTTGCCATCCTTCTTTGCAGCACGTGCTTCTCTTTCTTCCCTTGCTCTCTGGACTTTAAGGTGGTGAGGCAGATACTTGGACTTTTCCGAATTAAGTATTTTCTTGACGCCTTCTGTCCGAGCGCTGCCAGTGGAATTGGGCACATAGTAGCCTTCAATGACCAATGGTTCTGTAGGTTCAGCCTGAGCAGGTGCATTGAGTGCACGTATCCGATCATGCCGCCACGTCCATAACCTCGGGTCGCCAATGTCGGCAACTTTGAACTTCTTCTTTAGCTTGGCAAGATCCGCTTGGTCCTTGTCCTCCAAAGAAAGGCTCTGCATTGACTGGATTCCGAATTTGAAATCACTCGGCAGCTCCATCGCAGCAACGACGGTATCCGAGTATCGTTCATCGCGGACCAAAGGCTGCTCGGGCTCGGCGACTTCTTGCTTCAGGTCTTGCGTCTTGTCCTCGGGTTCAGTCGCTTCCTCCGTCTCCGTCTGCTCCAAAACCTCTTCGACATATGCGTCTTGTTGAGCCCTCTTGAGGGCTTCTCTCTCTTCGAAAATTTGCTTCTTGGACTTCTTCTTCCCCTTTGTGAGGAGAGGTTTCTTCTTGCCCTTCATCGCCGAGTCGACTGATAATAGGTTGGGGTCTGGTGTCTTCTCATCTTCTGCATCCATATCGGGAACGATAATATCCTCGACCGCATTGGAACCCGGAAATTCGGTTTCCAAGGTGTCAATAGTGACCCCAAAGAGCTCCTCGTCAGTCTTCTTCTGGCGCTTGATGGCTGCTTCAACTTGCAATACGAGTTTCCTCTTCTTGGTTCGTGTAGGCACATCGCTGACCGCAAAGCTGGCTTCTGTCAAAGAATCGTCTTCTTCCTTGAAAGCGTCCTCGTCGGTGCTCATGCGACTGCGTGGCCTAGACTCGGGCTCTTCAGTTTCCCGCGCCACAGAGTCGCGATTCTCTGTTTCGTCTCCAGAAGCCTCATCGTCGCTGTCTGGCTCCAAACGGTGATACAGACCGCGGAAGGCATTGTGTCCTGGCTTGGCACGCTTGCGCGCAAAGGGATCCAGGAAGCCGTGGTTACGTTGTGCGGCGAGCTGGCCCTTTGCCTTGCGAATCCGAGGAAGCGTAGCAACATCAAGTCGAGCTGTGCGGCGCTCAATTGGGTCTGCTCTCGAGTTTGGTGTTCCTACTGGTGTGGCGCTGCCATCGTCTGCTGCTCGAGTCGAGCTAAACGAGCGGTTTGTCGTCGGCAACTCCTCAAGGTTTAGCTTCCGTCGTTTCGAAGCATGGTTGGCAGGATCCAGAAAGTTATACAAAGCTGGGGCTGCGACCTTTGTACGAATATGCCTGATCAGATGTTCCTTCATTTCACGGCTCACTAACGCGACAGCTTCCAATACAGGGTCAAAGTCCTTGGCGCGCTGCTCCTTTTCTTCTTTCAGTACAGCTTCCTCATCTCGACGCCGTTGTTCCCGTTCGCTCCGATGCCTCACTTCTGGTGCTGATTTTCTTTCGGGCTCGACTCGCTTAGATGGTTCCGAGGCCTTCAGAGTTCGCGATGAGGGGATCGTTCCAGTCCTGAGTTGCATACGCATAGTATAGGTGAAGAAGGCACTACCATCTGCTGACCTATAGCATCGGTATGCTTCTTCGCGGCCACTGTTAGTGTTGGCGAAAAGAACATAGTATCCGGTACGATCGGCACGAATGTCATCGAAGGCAAACGACTTAAGTCTCTTCTTCATATGAGCCACCGTAGTTGGCATGATCGGAACGCTACTGTCGGGTATGAATATGTAGGGCTCGCCCTGGAGGGTTGTTGAGACAAGAACCTGTTCGATCAAAGGTCGCGGTCTCCCGGGCGCAGTCGGCGTTAATGTTGGTTCTACAGGAGCGACTGGCTGTCGATGCGCGGCCGGCCCCCGGGGCGCAGTCGGCGGTGGTCGGGCGAAACCATCAATGGCCTTTGGCTTGGGCGCTGTCGGGGCTGATGCGATTGATATGGACTTGGCAGCTTGTGCATCGCGAGCTTGCCGCGCTTCTTGTTCTGCTTTCTTGAGTACCTCTTCAAGCATCACACGGCTTTTCTTGCCGTCACGGTCAAAGTCTACTTTGATGGTGTTCGTTTCAATTCGTCGACCGTTCAAATGGCGCACAGCCCGCTTGGCAGCATCGATGGCCGAGACTGCCATTCCGCCGCGTCGGCTGGGATGCGGCTTGGAATCTCTATAGCGAAATGTAGCGAAGCCAAGATAGATGCCCGTTTCCGGGTGCATCTTGTTACTGCTCTCGGCGATCTCACCACAACTGGCGAAGAGGGTGGTCACTTTTGAAAATGCGATCAATGGGTCAAAGCCGCTGACTACGATCTGGGTTGGCGGCCCAGGTCCAATGGACGTGGCGGCATCATATGCATACGGTTTGAGGGCGTACGGAGTTTGTCGCAACCTCGCCTTGGGCAAATGAAAGTCGACATTGATGTAATCAAGGCGACTGCCTCTGGCCAAGCGCGGATCCGTTGGGGGGACGTCATCTGCCTGTTCAACAAATTTCAATTAGCCTTTTTTGCTCTTTTCATATTCACGTATGGCACTCCATGGCAGATGACATCCCCCCTCCAGATATGTATGTGTTATAGTATAGTTTACGTACCGCACCGAAGGGCTTGTATGTTGGCTTCGCTGATTTCCTCTCGGCCGAAGATAAACTCTTGTCAATCAATGGATCGAAGGTCCGCTTCATTCCTTGTGTCTGGCGGGTGGGATCTCGTGCCGGGATGCGGACGGCGGCGCCTGTCCGGCGTGATATTGATATGGACTCCGAAGAGGACTGTGTCGAGTCATTGGCCGTCCCGTTGGGTTGAGACGGCTTGCTATGCTGTATTTTTGTGGTATTGTGAGAAGGGTTGGAAGGGGAGCCAACATTGGTGAGCGGCGTCAGATCGCTGTTGAAGGCATGTGTTGAGGCGTTCACGGCCGAAGCATGGCTGAACACGGACGAAGCTGTGCTGGCATGAGAGCTCGCGGAGCCAATGCCGTTGAGCATATCTCCTTGTATAGATTCGGTATCATCAACGTGGAGGTGCGCGGCATCAGAAGAGGACGAGTTTTCGGGTTTTATACCATCGCGTTGAGCAGGCTGTGAGGTGGTAGAGGCATTGATAGATGGTGTTCTCGCATCGCGGTCGGCGCTGCCCTCTGAGACTCGCGATTTTGCTCTTTCCCTTTCGGCAGCCTTTTCTCGTGCGGCGCGAGGGGCGGCCGGAAAGAATTTGGCGAACCCAGCGCCAGATGCGCTAGGGGCCATCTTTCGCGCGAGGTGTAGTGTTCTGATCTTCCCACTATCCACCGACCATCATCTTCATCATCTCCTTATGGCGAAAAAAAAAACAAAAAAGTGGACAAAGGGCTAGATGCGAGCAACCATGGAGGTGTCGGGCCTGCACGTGTTCGATACTGGTGATATATTGAGAATTGCGAAGTACCGACGCGAAAAGAGCTCGTCGGCAGCAGCCCACGCGACAAGAAATCTGGGGATGTGACGTGTGGAACTTGAAAAGTGGGTTGGCAGGTCTGCACAAGGTGGCTGGGAATCGCTGCGCTGATGAGCAGGATAAGTTGACAGATGGATAAAGCGCGGTCGCGGGTTGCTTTGGAATGAAATGCCCAGATTGCAAAGGCGAGCCGAGGCGTGAGACCGGACGTGGAGGAACGTTGAGCAGTTTGAGTCGCGAAGGTTTAACGACTGGAAGAATCCGACCGACGTGGTGATCGAAGAGCCAAAAGGGATAGGCGAATGGGACCTGGGATAATTCGGAGCCACTAATTTTCTTGAACGACGCCGCAGCTGAGGCAGGTGAAAATGTACCGCAGCTGCAAAATATGCTTGCAGAGGTACCCAGACAGCCCGCGCTTGGACCAGCCCCTGTCTGTTTCTGGCGCGAACTCAGCGCTCTGCTGGGGGGTCTTGGGAGGTCCTGGGGAGGGCCTTCAATCTGCACAACCGCTAATTATCTGACAGGAGGCATGCAGCTCAAACACGAACACAAGTTGCAGACTTTTTTTCTCATACAGATAATCAATCTCTCAACTGCATGCGACTGGACTCAGTGCCTGAAAAGAAAGATGCCGGATTTTTGACAACGACATATCTTTTGATTCGGGGGTCAATACGATGAGAATATGATCGTAGCCATAAGTCGATTACCTAATGCTGGTTGCCGGATGCAGGTTTTCCTTTTTTCTTTCTTTTTTTTTTTTTTTTTTTTACACGTGTGTCAAAGACGAGAAACTGCTTCAAGCACCCCCTGTCGTTTTCCGAGGACAACCAACACGGCTTGTCTGCTGCTGTTGTAGAGGACGTTTTCGGTCTTGCTTCGTGACGTAGTTGGTGGAATTCATTACAGGAATGGCTCTAGAGCTGCAAGACATGGACTCGGTTTCTCTATTAACCACGACCACAGGCCTTAAAAAGGATAGTAGTACATCGATTAATACCAACACGTATTCTGTTCATCCATGACATGCTTTACGACACAAATCAGACCTGAGGTCGTTCTTACTTGTGACGTGGCTAAAGTATTGATTCCGAAAAATTGTACGCTCATCTAGAACAGCTCCTATATGACCTGTAGTGCTGGCACATGATGCCTCAATAGTTTGTCCATATTGTTGATCAATTGATTACTGGATGATTGGGTTAGCTATCTTTAGTCCTTGACAATGATGATGATGTATGTTCTAAAATGTTGACCTAGGTAGATTGCGATGGGACTCACTTCCACAAATACACACGAGTATTCTATGGCCAGATGTCCCCCGGAATGCAACAAGTTGCCTCCTCGCACGGATGAACCGCTCGGATGATGCGTCCTTCGCAGCTATAGTAAGAATACCATGTAGCGCAGTAACTATACATGCCCGTTTCCAAAGGACAGGTAAGGTGGCTCTCTTGACCAGTCGCAAGACTGGCGGCGCAAGCCACAATGGCCAAGATTGGAGAAAGAGTCTTGTACATTCCGGGATTTTGTCTTGCGGTAACAATTTTGTGAAAAGAACAAAGGATTGGATGACTCAAGGATGGTATAGTGGCTACCAGCGGGGAATTTATACCATCTGCTGGCTGTATCATGGCGTGGCTGATGTTCACGTTTTCTTTTTCTCTATTCCGAACGGCATGCTTCAATCAGCCCGTGGTGATCCATCAATCAGGAGAACAAGGCTTTCCTTTCGGCATCATGATGACAGCTGCCAAGCCTGCCCGTGGTGATCAACTTTATAGACATATCATATGGCACTGAGCTTCGACCAATGGTCAACAGTCCAAAGCGCCACCGGTCGAAAATATTACCAATTCCCGTCTCTACTACTCATCGTCCTTCGAGCAACAAATTGTAGGACAATCTCGTAGGAGGGGGGGGCATTAAGCAATCTTTTAGACCAAGTTATTCGCGTAGGATGTTATTACACCTCCAGATTTGTTCAGTTTTAATCAATATAGAAGTTGATTACCGAAATGGCTCCAGTAACGCTGTAATTTTGTGAACAAGACTGAACAAAACCATAATCTCATATTTGTGTGTTTGTGTACAATGCCTGCCTCTCCAACCAATTCATCAAGTATCGAGTGTCTGCGTGTGGCCATTCAATTGTCGATATCGCGTTCGCACGTGGAAGCGCGCCACAGTCGGCAGCCTTCCTCTCTTTCTTGTCAGATGGCGATGAGGTAGCAATCCTCGCCGTAGGGTTTTTGGCCAACTCTTCCCAGGACTTGAAAGTCGCGTTGATACTTATGAGTAGCCAGAATATCCTTCCCCCAGGGAGTAAAACCTCATCTCTTTTGTCCATCTCTTCCTCCATCGTATTGCATATTTTGTTTTTGGCTCAGTTTAGCCAGAGTCCGGACCGAGGCTCATGTTTGTGTACATGATATGCCTCCATGTAAAAACAGAAAACATCAAATTTCTTAGCATACCTTATGCTTCCTTGAACGCCAAATCATACATTTCCCCAGACGCCTAACCATAAATCGTAAAATCGCAACCGCAGTGCGAAAACTAAATTACTCCGGAAACCCCATCTCGAACTCGTCGTCGTCCAGCTCGGGTGGGGGGCTGCCGGCCAAATCACAATCACTCTCATCTTCTGGATGGAAGATTGACAGGAATGGAACACGCTCTTTCCATAGTTGATCTTCGTCAGCAGTGGATGTTTGCTTGCTTGCAAACCGTGCTGGGGTGATCGTCCTGTCCGGGTCGTTGGATACGGTGGCTGCTGGGCGGCGAAGGCCAGCAGTCTTTGGTTGAGACAAGCCCTGTGCTCGTTTGACTGCAGGCTTGGCCGTAGCTGGAGCCAGTGCTGATGCGGCAGCACGGCCCTTGTTGTATCCCAGCGTTGTCCTGGAGTTGGCCTCGACATTCGCCATTGGTGTTCGCCTTGTGGCGGGCGGCTGAGGCACAGCGGGCCTTGGTGCCGCAAATCGGGGAATGGCAAAGGAGGGTCTCTTTTTTCTTGCAGAAGGAACGGCTGCTGGCTTGACCATTCTGCGCTGCATGGATTTTGTCGTATCATCCATGGAAAGAGCCTTAGCGGCGTTCTTTGAAGTTACTGTTGACATAGGCTTGCGCGGGGCAGGCTTGATTTGTGTACTCTTGGCCTTGAGAGGAGCAGCTGAGGTTGCTTTTGGCTTCTTGCTCGTGGCATTTTCGAGCTCATGCTGAATGGCAGGGAACAATAAGCTATCGCTAAGCTCTTGGTGCCCTCTATCGAGTTCCTCTAATTGAGCGTCGAGCCGCTTCCCTGGCATCTCTAGTGCTTCGTAAGGGCGAAGACTATAATCGTCGGAGAAACCCCAGGCTCCTTCTGACTGCTGTGACAAGGGTTTGGAAGAGAGGATCTCCGATAAGAGGTCATCGTCGTCAGAAAGTGGTACTGCTGGAGGCGGGCAGTATTCCGGTTCCAAGCCCTCCCACCAGGGAGAATCCTCCTCTGCATGGACCTGTAGTTTCTGGGTCTCGGCTTGCGGCTGTTTCTGCTTTGGCTTGATAGTAGTAGGCGCTTGGTTCTTTGTGCCGCCAATATCTTTGATTGCGCTCTTGGCATTAACAGTCTGAGGTCCTCTGGACTTGGCGTTCGTTGTCTTGTCTCCCAGGACTGCTCGGTTTCGTGGTTCTGTGACAGCGTCAGCGTTTACATTCACTTTAGAATCGCTTGGAGACATACGCATAGGAGTGACAAAATTCGACTTGTCGAGGCCTTTCAAGCCCTTGGAGCTTGCTGCATTCTCGTTGCCTTTGGTGCGGTTGCCAAGGATGCTCTTAGCACCCTTCAAGTGACCGCCATTCTCATCATTGAGTGGAATCTTGATGGGTGTCTTTGGGTATCGAGCGCCGACTTGATTATTCTGTTGCTGCTTCAGAGCAGCCCCAGTCTGATGGCGGGCTACGAGATTTTCTTGGTCGCGAGCCACAAACATGATGGCGGCTTGTTCAGAGTGCTTGTTGAACAGCACAATCGTGCTGGCGGGTGAGTGTCAACAAAGAATTTCCGGCTTTGGGACAATGCCGCTTTGATGCTCAGGTATTGATGCGCACGAGTGACGTGATGTTCAGTGGAGGTATGTAATGTGATGAAGAAGGGGTCGATCGCATGTGCAGTGTGTAGTTACAGTGTGCAATGTTCAGGGTGTGTCGTTTGGCAATCAAATCAGAAGTCCGGGTATTAGTTCACTGGTTCCAGTGGTGGCGTCTTCTAATGAACATGGTTTACTTCCGTGGAGAGGTTGACGGAGCAACGCCGCTCCAATTAGCTGCGACCGAGCAACGAGAGTGGGGTCAAAGCTCTCGGTACGTACCTTATCCTCTGGTAGCGGCTGCCCCACTGAACAGCACTCAAAGCTCGCGGCAGTGGGCGGTGATCAAACTGTTAATGACTCGCTGTCATTTAGGCTGTGGTGCTTAACACACTCACGCGCCAGCCCCTGTCCTATTCCAGCGGGTTTCTAGGGGTATCGACGGACCCAAGCACCACAGAACGAGGGGCATTCATTCTTCTGGGCTTCCATTGATTGCGGCCTGGACAGCCAAATTCCACACAGCCGATCCATTCATCAGACCGTCTCTTTCATTCGGTCACCCTTTGCATAACCTTTCACATTCTCAACTACAAACTACAAGACTTCAATACTCTCCCTCACTTCTTTCACCTGCTCTTCTTTCACCTTTTCCACTACAATCTCTTGAAACTACAACACCACAACCCCAACCGCAACCATGGATCGCATTAAGGAGGTCAGTAACCCAAGATAGGAGGTTTCCCCCCAATCTTACCCCACCACGAAGCCGGGCGCGCGAGCAGCAGCAGCAGCAGCACTCCTCACCAGCAGCCATGGCAGCATTTCTTTTTCCCGAAAGGCTAGGAGTCGTGTTAGATGGAATCTTTAGCCGAGAAAATGATCATCATTATAGGCGGCAAAGCTGACATTGCATGCACATGTAGAAAATGAACTCCCTCCGCCTGGAGGCCGACGAGAACGCCGCCAAGGTCGAGGAGCTCCAGCAGAAGCTCAAGGCTCTTGAGCAGGAGAACCTGGCTAAGGAGCAGGAAATCACATCCCTCTCGCACAAGAACGGTCTCCTCGAGGCCGAGGTTGACAAGCTCGACACCTCCGTCAAGGATCTGAAGAAGTCCAACGATGAGGGCCAGCAACATGGTACGCAGAATGAGACCCTCCAACGAAGACTGCAGCTCCTCGAGGAAGAGGCCGAGGAAGCCGATAAGACTCTTCGTGAGGCCAATGAGAAGTAGGTGCAACCCTCAAAGCCCCCTTTCGGGACTATTCTTTGTTCTTGGTCACATACTAATCGGAGCGTGAAAACAGGCTCCGCCAGACTGACGTAAAAGCCGGTCACTTTGAACGCAAGGTGCAGGCTCTCGAGCAGGAGCGAGACCAGTGGGAGGGCAAGTACGAGGAGATGTCCCAGAAGTACGCCGCATTGCAGAAGGAGTTGGATGAGCTGCAAAACGAGATCAACGGATTTTAAGATGGTACGGTTATTTGCCGTGTTGGAACGCATATGGTCAACTTGTTCAGCGAACTGGGATCATAGCATGCATGTGGTTCTTCTGTCAGGCAAGGATGTATACAGTTAGGGGATGATAGGAGGCTTGCTTTGCAGAGGCCAATAAGCATAATTTTGGCCAACCATCAACCATCTGGCACTGTTCCTTTTCCTCAGGGGATTGCAAAATGTCACATTTTCCTAGAATAAGGTAGATCATCTGGTTGCAACCAAGTAGGGGGAGCTATTGGCAATCCCCCCTATTTCATTAATCATTTTATTTCCCGGACCCGCAACTATGACCTCGCTTTCAGCTTTTTAATCTTCTGCTTTTTGTTCGCAATCGACCGATCAAACTTTGACTCGTATCGGAATTTCTGCTTCTTCGTCTTTTTGGGACGAGCCTTTTCCTTCTCGTTGGCGGCTTTGGCCAAGGCTTCCCTTCGCTCCTTTTCTGCTTCGTCTTCCGTATCGGGTTCCTCTTCAGGCTTGTGTAGACCGTCCCGCGACACACTGACAGATTCCACAGTTACTGATGTATACTTGTCCTCGTCAATGTATTCCTCTTCGTGGTCTAATGGCTCGTCTGTTGGGCCATCTGGCAATCCTTGCCATTCTTGATTCTCCTCGTCGGAACCGTCCTGGTCGCTCACATTTCCAGCCCGCGCCGCTTCTCTGAGTAGTTTGTTTACGTGGTCGACATGCTCCTCTACCTCTCGTTTCCTTTCCTCGCGAATCTGTGACGTTCATTCGTTAATAAATGGCTACTTGCGCGCAGGCAGCGCAAGGCTGTCAAAGTAATGCGACATACCTGTTTCCTAGTCGCTAGCTTTTCTTCCTTCTCCCGCTTTGCAGACTCTTCTTGTGCCCTCTTGATGCGTTGCAACTTGCGCTTGTGAAATCCGGTGAGATACTCCTGCCGCGCATCGGTATCAAAGTTGACTTCTTCGACCGCGTGGGCAATCTTTCGCTTCTTGGGCAGCGTGGGCAAGATTGACTTTTTCGGTCTGGGATGTGTGATGAACATGGCGCCTGAATACAGAGAATAACTTTGTGTGTGGTAATGTTACTGCAATTCTGCTTGCTGTTCAGAATAAGAGGTTGGTGTCAGGTCAAGTTTGTACATGAAATTTTCTTTTTTCCCAGCTAGGGTGGATGATGCGCCTTGCACTGGAAATTTTGGTGTTGCTGTAGTCCCTGCCCCTCTAAACTTTCCAGAGGTAGCATCCGCTGAAAATGGCCACTAAAATCCGACGGGGACCCTGCCAGACCTGCAGCGCTGAGGAACTGGGGGTGAAACAGACAGCCTCGACGGAACTTGCCGGGGCCAGTTGACTGCCCATGCACAGTTGCCAGGCTACGTCTCTCTGGGGCGGCCGCGTGCAGCTCCAATGAGCTCAATCTGGATGTCGTCAAGCTCTCGCTTCATCCCAGAGAAAGGCCATTTCCATCATCGACCACAAAGTCCAGGCGCAACAACATTGACTCTACCAAGATGCGTCTCTCAATAGCAGCTCTGGCTGCTGGCTGCGCCACGGCCCATGCCTTCGCGAACACGTCGCCCTTTGTTTTGTTCTCGACCGAGAAGTACGTCACCTGGAGCAAAGCATGCTGCAACTGGCCCTTGCCATCATCGCTTGACTATGTTTTTCTAATACTGACCTGAGATTGCAGAATCGAGAACACAGTTTCGGATGAGCTCCAAGCCAACCAGTCGGTCTTGAAGGCCACTGGCGACTTCCTATCCAGCTGCCCGACGAAGCACTATCTGCTAGTATCGCAACCGAACCTCAACATTGAGCATCTAAACTCGAAGGCCGCTGCCCCCAAGCTGCAGGCTGCCCTATCATCTACACAGGTCCAGGGCCGGATGATGGTTTCGGAAATGAGCGGTGTCGTTGATCTGCAACAAGTTGCCTCCAGCATCAGAGAGAACTGTCAGGCAGCCGGCAAGACGCCATCTATTGATTCGATGGTCTTGGACGCCGTTCCTACCGCTGGCCGTTACCAGGATGTCGTGGAGAACCTCATTGACAGTGACAATGATGTGGGCGTGGTTCTACAGCAATATGATGCCGCTGGCGACTTTACCGTTATCTACACCGCGGGTGCTCGCACGGACAGAGCCGAGGATAAGCACTACGAGGCCGAATTCAAAGACACCACACACCAGGAGCTGAAGAGACAGGTTGGCTCGGTCAAGCGGGAAAAGGAGGAGAGGGATACCAGGCCACTGTTTGAGAAGTACCAATTTTTCACACCTGGTAGGTTTACATACGCTTCTCGAGGGGGGAAAGGGGGGTCTTTCATTGTTGAGTATATGCTAACTTGAGGCAGGCATCTTTATGACTCTGGTTGTCCTCCTAATTCTGTTTTCCATGTTGGGAGTCGGCATCAACGCTCTTGGCAGCCTGCAGGTTCCATACGGTGCTTTTGACAAGGAGATGGGCCCTGCTGCTCAGAAGAAGCAACAATAAGAGACCGAAATGGGGAACCATTTCAAGACTACTGGCACCTGTGATACTTATTTTATTCCGTGTACCATCAAACTCTGTATCAAAGTCAAGGAGCACGATATCCTTGGTCTGTTGATACTAAGAGTGTATGAATTTACCCTGGAACTGTGGCAACCAAGAAGGATAGAGCTTATTGTGCGGCTTGCTCTGGGGAGTAGACGGACTGCACAAACATATTGCTTTGATGACTGGCGTTTCAATACATATTACTGTTTAAGAAGACTTTTTTTTTTTTTTTGAACTTGATATGCAAAGGACCCGATGAATAGCCTGAATGATGCATTGCTTCCAACCATGGCAGACCTGGTCTATGTAGAGAACGCCGGGAACGCCTGAAAAATCACTCAGATTCGGCTTTGCTTCATTTCTCCTCACGAGGATATAGCATAAAATCCGCCCAAAGGTGGCGCCTCCAGTCCACCTCCCTCCCTCCCTCCTCCGGTCCGAGAGAAATATCGCCCTGGAGCGAAAGGGTATCACGGCCCTCTTTCTTTTCGTCGCTTTGAATAGAATCCGGCTCCAGGAGGAAAACACGCGCAAATCCACCGTCGCTCCTCCAATGTCGTTGAATCATCAGGGCGCTCTCTCTCAGACCAAATGGCTCGGCAGCAAAAAGTTGGCAATACCTTCACGGACAGCGTACTCGTGACCACAGTGGCCACAGACGAGTTTGCCCTCCATGATTTGCGTCTCCATGAGCAGGTTGTGCAGGTCCTTGAGCTTTTGCTCGTCGGCCTGCAGTTCCTCTGCCGTCGGGGCCTGCTCTGGCAGGGCTGGGAAGCCGAGCTGCAAAACATAGTTAGTACTTCATTTTGTTGTATGAATCTGATATGATGTATCATATAAAGTATTGCAAATCATGTCCCCAGTACTTTGCAAGTGGTTCGAGCCTTTGCAACTGAGAGCCATGTGGAAATATTTTTTACCCCACGCCTAACAGGCGACGGCAAATTTCTTCGCTCTGCCCACCGTGCGCAAGCAACCGTTGAAAAGAAAAATATTGTTCATCCCCTCGATAACTCACCTCAGTAGCAGTAGTGGTGAGCGCCTTCCAATCGATGCGGGGCAGAATGTTGATGAGCAGCTCCGGGTTGACCTCAATGTCGTCCTGCACCAGCTCGGCGTCCTTGGGGTGCAGAGGGTACGAGTCGGACGAGGATTTGCAAGCCTTGACGGCGCAGGTCAAAAAGTTTAGACTCAGGACCTTCATTTTTGCTCTTGTTGGCCTTATTGCTGCGTTTCTCCCCTATCAAGAAAAACAAAAATACGGTATATAAGACAGTTTGTGAGGGTGTTTGGTGTGCTTGACTGTTGAGTTTTCGACGCACCCGTCTGTTGGAAATTTTTATGGGTCCGTTTTCATGGTGCACCCAAGTTCATGGGTGAGCTATACTAAAACTCTCACCAATCATACATGGTCACGACAGGAGCCGTCACTGCATTCACAGCCATATTGACTCTGTAGAACTGAAAAGTGTCACTTGCAAGTAGCACAACAACAATCTAGGTTTATAACTTTTCATATTTTTGCATCCGCAATTACGCCATTGTCTTCTCGTATCCTACGTCGGTCTTCTCGGTCTTGGATCGGCTCATGCGCAGGTAAATGGCAATGGCAGCGATGATCACCGCAAAGAAGGCAGCCTTCTGGAAGACAGTGTAGCCTGCGGCAGCGGCAGCGACTTCAGTCTCCGAGAATGGGTTGGCAGCCTCCTCGCTGGAGAATCCCGCAGCCCATCCGGCACTGCCGTATGTAGCATCTGGGGAACACAAAAGTCGAATCAGCTATGCAGACAACACAGCGGGCGTCATATACGGGAAGAAACAAGCAGGAGACATGAAAATCATCATCATCATCATCATCTCTTTTTCATGTCTCCCTCCAAGGCGAACGAAGCAGGGTGGTTGTGGTGTGTTTAGAGCTCCACATGAATACCTTCGGGAGGAACCTCCAGCTCTCCGCTCTTGGCGATCTTGACTTCCTTGACGGGCTTGTCGCCGGGCTTGGTGGGGCCCTGCTCGATCTTCTCAACGACGTCGTAGCCCTCGAGGACCTCGCCAAAGACGACGTGACGGCCATCAAGCCACCTTTGATTTTTATTATTAGCATCTGAGCGGCTTGTATCTGCAACCGGCTGGTAGTACTTACGAGGTGACGACGGTGGTGATGAAGAACTGGGAGCCGTTGGTGTCCTTTCCAGCGTTGGCCATGGACAGGAGACCCTTCTTGGTGTGCTTGAGCTTGAAGTTCTCGTCGGGGAAGCGGTCACCGTAGACTGGAGAGTTTGAAGCGATTAGCCAAGTACAACGCACGTTTTGTGGTAGGAGTGTTGGGAACTTACTGGACTTTCCACCGGTACCATCACCCTTAGTGAAGTCACCGCCCTGGATCATGAACTGCTTGATGACTCTGTGGAAAGAAGATCCCTCGTAACCGAAGCCCTTCTCGCCAGTAGCAAGAGCACGGAAGTTCTCAGCGGTCTCGGGAACAGTCTTGCCGTAAAGACCCATGACGATACGGCCAATGGGCTCATCGCCCTGGGTGATGTCGAAGTAGACCTTGTGGGTGATCTTGGGGCCCTTGGCAGCTTCGGCGGTCGAAGCGAAGAACACCATGCTTACTCCAAGGAGCAACACGGCGCCAGCAAACAGGCGGCGCAGCGACAACATTGTGACAATAATGTTATCAAGACTGACTCAATGATATAGTCAATTGAGATGTGATGAAATCGTCGAGATGGAATCGACGAAGAAAAAGAAAATATGGAAGAAAGAGGAAAAGAGGAATTGTAGATGCAAGTCCTCTGAATGGTCCTCGTTGAAGCTACGTTTCACCTCGGAGCTGGTTGAAGCAGGTCCCTGGAGCAACCCCCAGGACATACATAATGTAGTCCATATGCGGAGGGGTCTTATCGCGTGCTCGATAAGAACGGACGGGGTGAATCCGCTCCCCATTGGTGCTGCAAAGGCATTAGCGCTCAAGCAGGTGCGGAATGGCCCGTGCATCTCGCGACTTGGAAATTCAACTTTCTAGAGAGAGCCTGAAGTCATTGTCCAGGGCATTCTCAGAACAAACGGTGATTGCGACACTTCTGGTATCGGCGTACCGATTTTATCAAGATGGTAAGTCTCGCGTCCACCTAGAGCTCCAACATAGTCAGCTAAAATGGCAACCAGGTTTTCATTATGGGCGTAAGCTTCCATCCGCGGAAGCTGGTGAAGAAGACCCTCGAATCCTTCTACGGCCTGGGTCCGCAAACCTCGGCGCGCATCATGGCCAAGTACTGCATTCACCCGCTGGCCCGACTCGAGACACTACCGGCAAAGGTGCAGACGTCGCTCACGGCGGAATTATCCACAATGACCATCGACAATGACGCCAAGAGATTAGTACAGGACAACATCAGGAGGTTGCGAGACATGGGCACATACAGAGGAAGAAGACACGCCATGGGTCTGCCCGTGCGCGGCCAGCAGACCAGGAACCAGATCGCAACAGCAAGAAAACTCAATGTGCTGGAGAGAGGTGGAGGCGACCGACCAATGGGCTCATAAGGGTAGAGGAAAGTCACGGGCTGTGGAAAGACTGTATGTCAATGCTGCAGACAAAGGTCGCATGTCGATGCAATATCGTATCATTGGGAATGGCGTTATAGAAAAGGTCCGGATTCTGCACGGATCTGATCAGCAGGACTTGTTCTGGTTGTCCCAGAGCAGCAACGCTGTGTGTACAATAAGATCTGCGGCGTCCAGCCATTGTACAAACAAACAAAGAAGAAATCATGAACTTGACGATGCAATTTCCGAGATAAAATGGCAATCACTTATGGTAAAAAATCATTTGATGGGTTTTTGTGTGGCCAAGAAAAGGGGCATTGTGCTAGATGTGGCCAGCTTGGTCAACATATCTCTACCATTTTTGCATGAAAGGATTGTGTATTCTGGCAGGAGTACCTCGTTGATGGCCAGTAATTCTACCATTTTACACGAGTCGGGCGGGTTGCGAATGACCATATCCCTACTGCTGTTCATCGTGCTGAAATGAGCTATTGATTACAGCACGAGACAATGGCCCGAGATTCTCTTAAACGAGGAGCCTTTTGTTGCGTCGTATTTTATTGCTTAGAGTACATAAACTATCTTCACCGTGGTACCAACACTGCTCATCGAATATGCTCAAATTCAGTCTGAGTTCTACCCCTCCTCAAAATAATGTTTCTTTACTATGGTCTTCTAAACATGGGCATCAGTACAGGCCAATCTGGTTCAATGATTGACCAATCGACCCCTTTGGAATCTCGTCCTCGTAGACTGGAAAGTCTTCCTCCTGTAGCTTAGCTGCGGTGATTTCGACATCTTTCCAGACACGGAGGATGTTCCCTCCAGCAACCTTCGCGGCGTCGACATCGGAAACACCGCGTCTCAACAACTCGGCAAAAAGCTCAGGGTACTTGGAAACATCTTCCAGTCCTTTCGGCACGGATGGAATACCATCAAAATCGCTGCCGACACCTACATGATCATAACCGATGAGATCACCGATGTAGGTGATGTGATCTGCGACCTTGTCAAGTGTAGCATTCTCTGGCACGGGCGCAGGAACGCCATTGTCATTGCCGACGTCTTCACAGGAGATGAAGTCGGGAGCAAAATTGACTGTAAAACCATCAGCAGACAAATTCGGCGGAATATCCTTCTAAAATCGACTTACCCATGACGATAGAGTTTGTTTTCTTGACCAGCTGAAGGATATCATCGGGCACATTTCTTGGGTGCGGGCAAATAGAGAACGCAGAAGAGTGGCTATACATGACGGGTGCCTTGCTTCCCTCCCAGTCACTTCCGCCAAGAACGTCGCGCATGGTGTCCGCACTGACATGAGCCAGATCCACGATCATGCCAATGCGGTTCATCTCGTGAACAAGCTTCTTGCCCTTGGGAGAGAGACCTCCCCAATATGGCTCAGCCTTGCGGAAAGGATGCTCAACGAGTGCAGAGTCCGCAAAGATATTGCCACAGTTATGGGTCAGCGTGACATATCGAGCACCTAAACTGTGAAAGAGGCGCAAATTGGCAACGGAATTACCAATTTGGTGGAGACCCTCGACGCCCAAGGGTGAAATGAGTTTACCCTCCTTGAACGATGCCAAGGCAGAGTCGGCGGTGATGCCAATCACATTGGAGAAGTCCTTGGAAAAGGCGGCACTGAGGCGGTTTACGAGATCAATCTGCTCAAGCGTGAACTGAACGCCTGTCATTTGTTAGATCCAAATAGAGTTAAAGGTATGAATGGATGCGATTGTGTCAAAAAACCTACTGCTTCTGTAGTTCTCGTCCGACCAGTCCGACCCATTTGCTGGACAAGGAGCGAAAACACTCCAAAAGGCACCTCCATTCTGCCCAGCCCTCAATCGTGGTAGGTCAACTTGCATTGGTAATCCTGTCTCGCTAAATGCCTCGGAGAAGTTGCCATAGATCTTGTTGTGATACAAGGCGCGGACGAGCAGTGGAAAATCATCATGTCCATCTAAGAGACTACTGTCAGAGGTGCGAAAGAGTGTTTTCAAATACACGTAGCTGACCTATAAGCGGCGTTGTAGATAGGATGTTATGAACTCGGTTTTCTACCGTCTGCGGACGCAAGCGTGAGTAGGCGTGGCAAGCTGGGTGATAAGACCTGGTGGTAGGATGGACCAGCGTTCCGAGGAGTAGAAAGTTAATGATGATAGCAGCGAGGACACCCCGGTTGCGAGAAGGAGCTCGCTTCTCTACTTGTTGAGGATAGCCCTCCTCGAGAGGGAGTTCTTTCTCAGACATTTTGCGTAGATATCGTCCAGCAGTTGATATGTAAGCAGGTTGACACAGAGGACCTGAGTTCTGAACACTCTACGCTCCACAGCAGCAATTCTCTTCAGAGAGGAAAAAAAAAGTTTTGAGAGTCGTCGGCCCTCGAAGAATATTGACTCAATTGCCAATCTCAAATTCAACCAAGGTGTTGGAAGCAATCAAGGAGCCTTGTTCGCGATCGTTAGTTGTTGGCCGCTGTAAGGTGAGAGGCGAGAGTCGCTGGACCGTAACTGCCTCATTCGGAGGCCCCCGCCAGGGCGGCGATCTCGTCATCCCGGCCGCTATGGTGAGCAAGCACGATTAAAGTCGATCGGCAAACAGCCGAAAATGACTATATAAAGTTCAAAGCTCGGGACCTCGAGTATGCTATACTGTGTACTGTCTGTCTATACTGGTGTAACCATGCTCAAACCTTGTGTCTCTCTGGCAGACAACTTGCAAATGCCCGCAATTATTTCTTTTTGGAGATTGTCTTATATACACCTGCAAGAATCGTTTATTTGGGCAGAATTCATGCGGCACGGGGCGATTGCACTAACTTTTGAGTTAGTTCCCGACAACTTGGCTTACCTAGTATACCACTATGCTGTCTGTTACAATTGTAGCACAACCTTCTGAGCATCTGTGACATCTCATAAAGGAGAGATCTGATATGAAAGCTCGGCATCGGCGGAAATAAACAAAGAAAAGGGCATTCCACCTGGTAAATACAAAAGCAAGGCTTGCACATGACATGTCTGGTTATGGGGTATATTCAGACGTGTGTTGCGCGCGTGCCTTTTACCCGTTCTCTCTATCTGAGCGTTGGGTGGATCGCAGCAAATGGCACTTGAGAAATAACCCCTGAAAGCTGCACCAGGCGGCACCCTGTCAGCTCATTTCATTTTGAGGCTCAGTTGGCTAGGCTTGCTAGGTACCGACACATGTCACCGTTAGTACGGAGGGACCACATACCTACCGATTACTGTACAAGACTGGTGTTGAAACGAAGAAAACATTCGCCCGAGCACGGGAATTCCCAAAAGAAGCAAACAAGTGACAAAAGGAGACATGTTGAGGGTATTTCTCTGCGCCGAAACATAGTTTACGTCCATATGGTAAAGTTGATGCAACACAAAAACAAGGTAATCTAGTATTCAGCATAAATTCGTTGGCCGGTACTCGCGAGATTCCAAAGAAAAAACTCAGACATGAGATGAACCAGGACTTTTCCGGGGTAATAAGGGCGTTGATGGGGTCCATCGGACTAAACGGTTTGCTCGTATATGTGTCCCGACGTGTTCTAATTTCCTGGCATTCGTGCAATGAAATCGAACCGTGAACGTCCCCTGCATCGATTAGGCATCTTGCGGCACCGGTAGCGGGTCTGTCAGCGGGCGGGCTTTGAGGCGATGTTTGAGCTAAGGTAGGGGGCACGGCCGCACATCTTGGGCTTCCTCAGTGGCTTTGCACAGCTTTCTCCTCCCTAGGTAGTAGCTTGCCTCCAGGGTAGAATAGACGGTCAGTTCTTTGGCTGGCGGTACATGTCCGTCCATTTCAGCAAGGATAGGTACCTACGACAGGCTCGTCATTCCCGCCCGTCGACCAATGACGGCAGCTCCTGGCTGACAGCTTTCTCTGGCCGCTCAGCTGCAAGAGGTGGCAGGTAACTGTAATGGGCAAAATGCGATTTCGCTGATGGGCGACTCGAAAAAAATAAACATCGACCCCATCACTTTCTCTTCGTATTCACTTCTTCAAACAGCAGCACTTTTTTTTTTTGGGAGAGCGAGCCACAAGGCCGTCTTTGTGTTACTTTACCAAGACCATTGTGTCACTTACGACGAAACGCAGATTTACCTACTCGACTTCTCAAGTCCCTCTTTGCCAGCACGGCCTGTCTACCCAACCAACCGCTTGTACTGTCATCGTCTGTTGGCATCAAGCTACCAGAACCCAGTTTGCCGACCCAACCCCGATCGACCCAAAAACAAGCCTGGGGATTCAGCCCTCTAAGCCACCCGGCGCTTGTTTATCGATTCGGCTTTCTTTGTGTGCATCACATACGGCATTCTCTCCTACATGACCACGACTGGTGATGAATCACGACCCGTAGCAATTTACTACTCCATTGATTATCTATTTCCTTGCCTTTAGCCCTGTCATTGTCGTTTTCAAAATCCCCCCAAAGCAGTTCTTTTTTTGATTCAGCCATTATGCCTGGTTTCGCCGACTCGTTCTGGTCGGCCGACTATGCGGCAGGTAAACATGATGACCCAAAATCGACTACACCATCCTTCTGCCATACTGACCATGTTTCGCAGGGCTCGGTGTTCTGTTTGGAAAGCTTCAACAAGGAGTACAAGAGAACCGACAGGTCCTGACCATTGCCCGCTTGCGCGCCGAGGCAGAGGAGGTTTATGGCCAAAAGCTAAGCGACATTGCACCTGCTGCCGACAAGATCGCCGGTGGCTTCTCTCGCGACGATGGCGCCAGCACCAGAAAGGCCTACGATGGCGTACGAGGTGAGATGGAGGACGCCGCAAAGAACCACCTGAAGATCGCCCAGAGTATCCGGGATTTGGTGGTGAACCCTTTCTCCAGGTGGTGTGATGCGCATGAGTCGCGCCTCCAGGAGTCGCAAGACGAACTTCAAGTCCGCATCAAAGCCCATGATCGCCAGGCCGAGCTGGTCAAGAAGCTGCGCAGCAACTACTTCAACAAGTGTCGTCTCGTCGAGGATCTCGAGGAAGAGAACAAGATGGCCTTCCAAACCGCCGAAACGAGCCCAAAACAGCCAAGCAATGTGCCTGAGATTAAGATTTCAGAAAACAAGGAAGAGGAAGATGACGAAATTTACGAGATCGGAGACGAAACATACCAGACCGAGCAGGTCAAGAAGATTCTCGAACATATGATCAACACCATTAAGATGGGCGAGACAAAGGTTCCTATTCTTGGAACCTATCTTAACACATCCAGCGGATCGGACATTGTCGAATACCTGCAGAGATACATGAACACTACAAGCATGAGCTATGCCGAGAGGATTGGACAAGATCTTATCACCAACGGCTTTCTGCGCCTGGTTGGAAACGTTGGCAACACTTTTGCCAACAGCTCCAAGCTCTTCTACCAATGGAAGCCCAGTGCTTTCAAATTGGCCGGAGTCCCGGAAAAGAAGGCGGCACCCATTTCCAGAACTTTCTCCATGCCTACTTCTGAAGGTAGCACCGACTCTCCCGTGATCGGCACCGTCAGTGAATATCTTCAAGGCTGGGGCCTCAACAACCAATACCCGAACGAGACCCCGCCGGATCGTCTTCGCCGCGAAGCCAGAGAATCGGACGAGAAGTACAAGGCTGGTGTTCAAAAGCTGGACGAGATGCGCTGTGAGCTGGAGGAGGCCATTCTTCTCCACCTCAAGTTCCTGGAGCGCTGCGAGCTGGACAGATTGAAGGCAGTCAAGACTGTGGTCCTCGACTTTTCGGGAACCATTGGCAATGTCATCCCCAGTCTGCAGGCAACCGTCGACCGGATGGTCCTGTATCAAGAAACGGTTCAGCCAATGGGCGACCTCCGTTATCTATTGGAAAACTACCGGACCGGCAGTTTTGCACCAAAAGTTGTAACATATGAGAACTATTACAACAAGGTCGATGAGCAGACGTTTGGCGTGGATCTCGAGGCCCGTGCTAGAGCCGACAGGAAGCGTGTACCCATCATTATCACAACTCTGCTCACATATCTGGACAGCCACTATCCCGATCTCGAGGGTGATGCAGCCAGACGCGACGTATGGCTTGTGGAGGTGCCTTTGGCACAAGTCCACAAGCTGCGGGCCAAGATCAACAACGGTAAAGCTTTCACAGCTGAGACTTTGACGGATGCCGAGGTTCCCACAGTCGCCAGTCTTCTAAAGCTTTACCTGCTCGAGCTTCCTGGTAAGTCACCAACCTGAAAACCATGGATGATGCGGAGAACTAATGTCGTTCTAGATTCCCTTGTTTCTTCCCATGTCTATGAAATCATCCGCACAATCTACAACACACCAGCAACTGATGGCTCTGAAGATGCGCGGATCGGTGTTCTTCAGCAGACCCTCTCACAGCTCCGCCTTACCAACATTGCCACCCTCGATGCCTGCATGAATCATTTTACCCGCCTGATTGATCTTACTTCTGCGGACGAGCAGTACGTTGCTGCTCTTGCTACATCTTTGGCTCCCTGCATTCTGCGGCCCCGCACCGAGACTTCCTTGACAATGGAGGAGAAGCATGCCTACCGATTGATTCGCGATCTGTTCCAGCACAAGGACGCCATCTTTTCTGAACTGAAGCGCATGTCCACGCTGAACCACTCCAGCTCCGTTTCGGCACCTAGGCCGCGGGCGATTAGCACCGACGAGAGTAACAGGCGCGCCCATATGGAGGAGCGCCAGCGAGCTCTTCTCGAGAAGGCTGGTGGCAGGAGTCGTGCTACTAGTCCCGCACCGAGTCCACGCCACCGCCGTGATCGCAGTGTAGGAGGTCCCGAAACTCGATTCCCCATCCAGACCTCGCCGACATCTACCACTGACCGTCACCGCGCGAGCATGGCCAGCTTTCCCGGTGGTATTGTGAAGCGGTCTAGTCTTGAGGTGCCCGACAACACCGGAACCGCACCAGCGCCCGCTAGCGAGATCAACGGTGCCAATGGCGAGGCTGCGACCGACGAGGGCTCTGTCATTGAAAAGAGGAATAGTCTGGGCCGCAGTAGCGCTAGATTCGAACGTGGAAGACGTGTTACTGTTTCGAGGGACTCGGCTCCACCGGCAGCGATTGGCGAGGAGGAAAACGCGGCGCCTGAAAGTGCTGCAGCACCAGATTCTCCGTCGGCTGTTCACTCCGTAACCCTTGTCGATAAGCCCATGGAGGACTAGCTGTGCATCTTTTGAATGGGTTTTATCGCTTCTGGCGTACCGACGGGAGCAGAGGTATCAAAAGCGTTGGGTGGGGGCAAGGTCGGCTCGTTTGTATTGCATTCTAATTGAGCAGTAATCCAGTCCATCTGGCTCGTGAGCTCATATATGGAGGCGTTGGATGGCTGAGAAGTGCATATAATATATGTATTTCTCTTTCCTTTTGTATGTAAAAGACTGTACGCTTCACGAAGACGGTTTTCACGAAGAGACGGTTCTATACCACTTATAGTACACTTTCCAATTCCTATTTACATGCTGAAATGAAGACATTGGTGAAACGAGAATGTATCCAAGATTGCCACAGAACGTCAGTTTGATACGCCTACCTGTGGTTATCGTTCAAGCACAGGTGAATATGAACGCCTCGAGGTCGCGAGAGGAGGAGTGTTGTAAAAGTACCAGCTCCCTGGCAACAGGCATTTGAGGTAATGGAAGGGCTGGTAGGTGTAAATGCAGGAGCTTTGTTTGAGTCCTTTCAACCTCGCGGCAGTAGTTGACACGTGGACCGGGTGCACGAATATGGAGAAGACCCGATGCTCAGCTCGCAACAAGTACCGGGACTTTTCCTACTTGCTAAGGCAGCAGTGAGTGCTTGATGTTCTGTGAACGGCGGCAGTCATGTTTGTGATTTGCCTGGGGGCTGCCGAGGATTGAGGGCAATCAGATGCCACTTTCTCGAAAGGGGTCTCATTTCTCGGGAAAGCACTCTTGGTTTCTGTGTCTGGAAGAGCCCTTTGGTTCATACTTGGATATCTTGGAAAGAATGAATGGCAGATTGTGCTTTCTACACTACATTTGGGGTTTGTTTATTTATCTTCGGGCTGGTCCTAGGTCGCTTATAAAAACCCCAAGGCTCACGGATTTCTTCCCTTTCCCAATGCTTCTTCTCGAACAACTCTGGCGAGGGAAACCAACACAAGGCTACCATTGAAGAAATCCTATCATGCACAACCATTTCAAATTTCTCTCTTTTTCTACCACAATCACGAGTCGCACAGATGTGAAAGATATTGAAAAACTCCTCAGTCCACCAAAGCCCAAGCACCAGTCTTCCGAGGCCATCTCTGATGACGGTCATCATACGATACATCACCTCGTCATACCACGGTAACAACCATAACGACATCAAGAAGGATCTCATGTCAACCCAGAGTTCTACCATCCCAGTAAGTGCGACCGTGATTGAAATAAGGATCACGTCGTTGACCGTGCTAAGCACTAATATCCTCACTGCTACCTGCGGGTGCCGCAAAGTCACGAGAGCCCACCGGTTGGTCATCTTGTGAAAAGGATGTGTGTTCAACGTTAAGGCCCTTTACCCAATCATGGCCATTTTGGATCTTCTGGTCCTGACCGTACAATCAATACCCGAGAAGAGACGCCATGGCACTTTTTGGCGACTAGAATGCAAGCTATTGCAATTTGTTACTCATTAGCTTAGTTTAACTAGAAATCCATCATACTAGACGTCTCCGTATTTTTATGAAATGATGCTTGAATCGAAAGTTCACGGGTTTGAAGCCACAACTGACATCACCTTGTGATTTTCCCGGGCTCCCTTTGTTGACGTTGTATTGTCGGAGATGTTTGTTGGTGCTGGGACAAGCCTTGTTTTACTCGGATTTGTTGGCCCTTGATTCATCTTTGTTTATTCGTTTTCCCCGCTCTTTCTTCTTATTCTTTTTTTTTTCTTTTTCTCCACATTCGCAACATTTGTATCCAGCAACCTGGGGCAGGCCCGTGGTTATGGGACAAGGCCTGACGACGGGTGGACCGTGATATAAAGGAATATATCCATGGCTGAATTCATTCTAACATCTGTCTCATGCTCTTTGAGCTGGTCAGTAGGATGTCTTTTTCAGATTTAGAGGGTGATCAATGCCCTACCTCCCACCTTTTCTCTACTTCACGAGCCTCTGTTGCGTCGTCCATGTTGATAGATTTATCGATGATTCTCAACTTTTGCTGCTGCACGCTCTGGACATACTTTTTATTTTAAGCAGACGAGTTAGTACCTGATTAACCAGTGATGGGGTTAGTTAATGGAATAATGCTCACTCACAGTCTCTACGGAATTCGGAACGATGTATCGAATGACTGTGACTTTCTGCGTCTGCCCGATGCGATACACTCGGTCGACGGCTTGCGCTTCTACCGTCGGATTCCAATGCGGCTCGAGCAAGTGCACCATACTGGCGGCTGTAAAATTGACTCTAAACAGTGATAGCTTATTGTTAGTTGACAGAACAATTGGGATGCGAGGAAGGACAAAAGAAAAATAATATGAAGAAATCACATACCCTTCGGCAGCACTTCCTAGACTGGCTAGCATTACTCTGCAATTCGGATTGTCCTTGAATTCTTGCATGGCATTTTGCCGTCCTCGGAGACTGGTTTTACCGTCGATGCGCTGGAATGCGAGCTGCTCCTTCTCGAGTGCCAACCCTACGAGGTCCAGCATCTTGGTCCAGTAACTGAATACTACGCTACCATATTATGAGTTGTGACTTTCTGAGACCTGGATGAAGAATGTACACACCTTTTTTGTGGTTTGCCGTTCGTTCCTGTTACTGTCTGCTGCTTGAGGGTTTCCAACAATGCTACAACCTTGGCGGATGGCTGATATCGAGCTTTGGACGGACTAGAGCTTCCGTCCTTGTCTGCTGTGTTAGAAAAGGTATCGTATCCATTTGACCCTTCCGAGTTTAGACAATTGCTGCATAGAGAATCTAGTCCATCCGAATCCGAGCCTGAGATGATATCAAGTTCACCCTCACAGCTGGAACATTTTCCGCCATGAAATCGATGTGCCTCCAGTATGGAGAAGGAGGACGCAGAGTTTTTGGATTTCATCTTGACAACTTCATCAGGTAAAAGTTGCGCCCCATGATCGCAAATGAGTCGTAGCCAGTTGATAAGAGATAGAATATTCTCTTCCTTGTTCTTCCGGGACGTGGTTTCTCGCGACTGCTTACCCAAACCAGCGGCCCTCTCTTTGGCGAGTTCCTTGAAGTCATTGTACAGAGCCTGATCAGCTTCGTGTAGACGGACCTTGTGCACTATTTCTGAGCGCTCAGGTAGGCTCAAGTCATTATGAGACAAGCATTTCTGCTTGGTTCTCCGCAGACATGTTGTTCGAATGAGCCGCTGTAAACGATCAATGCTTATTTCGTCATTTGTCTCCAAGGGCTTGACAATCCAGGACATGAATTTGGCTTTTTGCTCAAAGGGGGAAACCCGTATGAAACTGAGCAAGGCGCCATAGTCATCGAGACTGTTGTGGATTGGTGTTCCGGTCAAGCACCAACGATATCGACAATTGAGAGCACAGACAGACCGAAAAGCCTGCTTTGCACGATTTCGGATGTGGTGGGCTGGCCCAAGATTAGTGGTGACATCCATGAAATTCTTAGCCAATCCCACTTCTCTCACCTTCATCTAGTACGACCCGGAGCCATTTCCAGGATAGCAGAGGACTGCTCTTTTCCGGCGATCCGCATTCGGCTCGAAGCGTCTCATAGGTTGTGATGACAACGTCATAGTCCTCAAAACGATTGGCAAGGCTTTCTCTACCTGGCCCATGGTATATGACTCTTCGCATCTGCCCCTCATGGATGTGCCTGGTGCGACATATATGTCAGGCCTTCGTGTTCGATCACTTGAAACTCATGACATAACTTACTCTGATATCTGGGTCTCCCAGCCGTACAAGGCTTCAGTTCTTGTAAGCAGACTCCTTGTATCGTGATGTTCAATGTTCAACTCACTCGACATTGGGGCAACGATGAGCGTGCCTTGATATCTTGAATTCTGATTTCCATGTACTAATGTTTCCTCATAGTCCAAAGATGAGCATATTAGCGCCAGCATGCTAAGCGTCTTGCCAAGGCCCATATCCTTTACAGCTTGTGTTAGTATCCGACCAAGTACAAGTGTGAAAGTGACATACGTCGGCAAGGATTCCTCCCATGGGTGGCGCGGGTCTGTTCTCCAACGATCTTGTGACTGTGTGACGATACCTGATAGTCAAGCTTAGGGATTGGAGCATCTCTCATATGGCAAAGATAAAACGAATGAGTACTTACTGCAAGACTTGACTCTTACTATTGAGTTCACGTTTCCAGAGTGGGGAAAATATTGGCTCTTCAACATAACCACGCTCCTTCTCTTGCATCATCGTTAGCGCGGTGGTTTGATGGCTGTCTGCAATCAGCAATTATTGATAAACATGACGTGAAATCGGCACCTTACCTCATTAGCGGCGAGCAAAGTCGCGGACTTATGTGTGCGCGAACCACTGTTGCTGCACTTTCGTCTGCAGCTGCGTTGTCGAACATTCGCAGCCAACGACTCTCGCCCAGTCCGTCGCCTAGCATGTTGTGGGGAGAATCATCACCCATGTCATCGGGGCTTAGATACTTGAGTTCTGGCATTCCGGCGCCAGGGCGGCAGAGGTAGTGGGGATTGTCATATATGATACCAGGTTTAATTTCGTCAGCAAATGGATGTTGAAGAAAGAAGCCCGCATCCGAAAGCAGACCGCCAATTTTGTCTTTGTCGCCGCGCGGGCCGTAAATCGCGATACGTAAGCTGTGCTCTGGGATAAGACGAGCTAAAACGCTCTTCTTCGTTGCGGGCTTGCTCATCGCTTTTGATTCCTTGGTCCCCGAGACCAAGAGCGTGGCATCGAGTTCAAGGGAAAATTGTCGAAGTATATTTATCAGGTGCGAGTTGTTCAAAATACCAGCATTCCGATCAGAGCTTGGATCATGAAGTAAGAAGATACTTCCAAATGATTTCAAATTCACGGGCACAGAATAAGGTCTGAGCTCCTGTTCAATAGAGGATGTGGGAGTGGCTATGACCTTGATGCTGATCAGCACGTTGAACAAGCCTTCGGTAGTAGACATGACTTACAACACCATAACAAATATTCGAATCATTACTTATTTGTTTCGTGGGCTCAATCAATAGTTGTTGAGGTGAGGTGTCCATTATCATTTGGTTGGGTTCCGGGGCCTCGAATGTCGGTTGATCACCTGGGTTCATGTCGCTGACATTGTCCTCACCAGTATCTTTCTGGTTCGAGAGTGACTGGGGATCTTCGACCACTTGATACGCTAGATTTCTTGTCCACGCATGATGTCCCAAGGGCAGTTCCTGGGGTGATTGGTCAAGCTGCTCACTCATTTGCAGGCTCAGGGTAGATTCCTGATGATTGATATGTGGTGTCCAGCTGTGAGTGTCATTCGCTAGCGCATGATCTACCCCGTGCATCCCATGAAATGACGCATCAGCAGGTTCGATGGAGAGCGAGCCATCGAGGTGATTACCAAAACCATTGTCAAGCCGAATGTCGGATTCGCTAGGAAGATCACCGTTGAAATAGTCGAAAACATTCCAGTCATCGCTGGGAAGATCTTCTGATAGCATAATTGTATCTTCAAATTCCTGAGGCCAGTCATTGTTCACAGCCACCCGCTCCGCAGCATCAAGATGAGGCTCGGTGCGGTGTTTTTTGTTTTCGCGGTCATCGGCGCCTGGGGAGGGACTCGGTCGCTTACTGCCTGCATTTGGCTGCAAATTCCAAAAATCGCCACCGCGGTTCATGGCAGCCCGTGTGACGTTTATTGGCCACCCTATGAAATCAAACAGAAATTAAAGGGAATCACATCCAGAGCGTGAGTCCAAGATATATGATAGCCCCGCTACGGCGATGCTGCCTCGAGAGTTGTGAGGCTGAATGAATGAGCCGACTTTCCAGACTTTTGCGGCCCAATCACATGGCGGTCCACTGCCGCAGTGTTTGCAAGCCCTTGTGAAACCATGACACTGTACGGGAACAATCGAGTATAAACAGCACAGCCTGTAGCTATGAATAAGTCGCACAAACCAAAATCTTAATTAAGACTACACCATAATTACCTACCTAGGCACTGAAGTTGTAGGCATCTCGACCATTTCCGCAATGGTCTCTCGTGCTCGGCGCCAAATAGTGGTCATGGGCAGACAAGGCTCCACGACTCAAACCAAAAGTTACTTGCCACCGTCGTCACTCGTCGGCCGTGGCATCTTCTCCCGTACTTAAAATGGTGCTACCAAAGACGACATAGCTGGTACCTTGCCGACTGTGCATATAGACATGGTGAACCGATGCCTTTATATATGCATGTGTAGCTTCATGTCGTTCTTGACAAGAGTTTGAGTTTGTTGATTTCCTTAAGGGAGGAAGTCATCGACAGTATCCTGGACTGTGGTGCACATGTCGTGGCGCAGAAGGCATATAATTGAGCCAATATCTATCCTAGTAAGTATGTATGTAGAAAAGGAAACTCGCTGTGTGATTTCATAGCCTAGGTACCATTATCAAACACAAACTCCTACGACTCCTCCACCTTCAGCCCGGCAAAAGTGATTTTCAAAGTTTGATCATGGCCCCACCCTTCTCCTTCTTCGTCCTTTACCTGGTCCCAACGAGGTCACTATCATCCAGAACAGGAAATCTATCCCTAACCCTTCAACAATTCTTCGATCAATTGCTTCCCAGCCCCCACTTGCTTTTGCTTCGTGTCCTCCACAAGCTCATCCCAACTCATCCCCAACCATTGATGAATGGCTTTTGCACCTTTTTCGTCTTGTATTCTCCTGCCTGGCATTAGCACATCACTTCCTTCCCTCTGCGGAACAGTATGAGCTTCTTGGTTCAAGTCAGGGTCAGCGCCGTGTAGGAGTAGAAGTCTCATCATCTCAGCCCCCTTGGCAGATGCATGCTGAGCAGCGCGATGAAGGGCTGTTATCTTATATTTTCTTCTGTCATTGACATCCGCACCTAAGTCAAGTAGATATGTCGCCAAAAGAATTGACAAACCGGAACCTGCAACGTTCTTAAGGGCTTGATTGACACATCGCGGGCCCACAATGGGAAAGATCCGCAGTTTACGCCACATATCGAGCAGCTGCTGGTCCCCAGCCGGATGCGATGCTGCTGCACTGAGGATGCTGGGATCTATCAGGCGCTTGAGCATATTGTTCAGGGTTTTGTCGTGTTGACGGAAACCTTGAAGCCATGTGCACCATATCTCAACTCCTTCGCGCCATTCTGTCGAGGCAAGTTGTCTTGTGAGCCATAAGCGTTGCAGTTTGCCATCCTTGCGGGAGTACATTTTGTCTATGCTGAAGAGATGGATTCCGAATCGAGAACAGAAATGTTCCAAAGCACTAGCATTACGGCCTCTTATTGATGCTGCGATGCATGCGTGTGCCTCCTTCCGCTCCTCGGCGTCGAGACCCCCGTCATTTATTGGATTTTCCAAAAGCTGGAGCATATTGCCTGAAGCATTGGATGCAGCAAGTAACTGCAATTTATGTCGAGTTTCGCCTTCATCTAAGGCGTTTGGAAATAGACCAAGAACTTCCCGGACACGTTCGATTTCATCATGTTTTATCAGATCAGAGAGAATGGTCTCAACTTCAGCTACACTGAGTTCTTGACCATCAAAGCTCCGTTGTGGGACATATGCTGGAGTGTTTCGGTGAGCTGTCTGCGAATGAAGTCGCCGCATCCTCTCGGACAAGAAACCGATTTCTTTGTAAACGCAGCCAGGCTCGTCGCATTGTAGAAGAACATCATGTGATTTCTCGTGCTCATACCTGAGGCCACGTGTTGGAAAGCCGTGGCGCCAGAATTTGCACAATGGAAATTTGCACTTGAAGGGTCGTGGTCCATAATAATACAGGATATCTTCGCAAGTTGTGTGGTCTTCGGATTTGGAGGACAGAAGACATGCAAGTGCTGAGTTGCATAAGGCGCCATCAATGGATTGACGAATGCGTTGAGATGTGGCTGATATCGAGAGAGGATCATTGTGATTCTTCTTGGGGTCTGAGAGGTTCCAAAGATGTACGAATTAGTGGTCAAATCAATCCAAAGAGCCAAAGGCCAATCAAATCGAGCAGTCATCTTACCTTGATCCGTCTTGCCTGTGAAGAGAAAAGAAGCCTGGCGAAATTCGAAGGCTTGGAGAAGTAGTGCATACAATAATGGCTGTTTTGCCTTCAACGGTGCAAATGAATCTTTGAAAGGGTCTCCGTGTCTGAAATGATGTTGTTCCGTGGATGCAAGATGATCAGTTTTCCTGGTATCGAACAATCTTTGGATAGACTGAATCAACTTGATTGATGGATTGGCTGACCTAAGCATTTGAAAATACTGACAGACCAGATCGAACCACATTATTGAGGAAAAGGAATGGAAGCCGTATTGCCCTGTTAGAACTTTCTTTGAAATCTCCTCTGGTGTGACATCAGAATCATGATGACTTTGGCATAGATAGTTGATGCAGCACAGCGCCAAACTCAATGTAGCTTCAGTACTGTCAATCACTCGTGTTCCGAGGTGAGGGCTCACTATGTATCTGTGAAGTAATGAGTCTCTGCTTTTGTGGATGCGACACGAATACCTACTCTTTTGCAGTGAAGTGCACAAAGTGGATATGGGTATCCACTGTCTCGACAATTGGGCCGAGCATCTTGACGACGTCAAGCACCATTATATTGAAGACTTGGTCCCTCTTGTCTGGGTTGACCATTAATGCTTGAGTAGCTTCCTCGACACTCATAGGAATTGGGGAGGAGGCTATCCATCCCAAGAGCCGTCGGGCTCGTTGTGCTTGCTTCTTGTCCTTCTGTTGTCCAAGACGCTGAATGATACGGTAATAACTATACGATAACATGTTAGCTCTCTATCAAATAGTCACAGTTGTTCGTAATGGGAGACTTGCGCATCATCGAGGTTTTCTGGAAGTACTCCGAACTGTTCCTCCATCTCCGATAGGTCATTCATTGACGAGACCATATCCATCACCAGTCGAGCGTAAAGAAACATCCCTTTCGCTTGACTTGCCAATGGAGACAAGAGTTCCAAAATGCTCTTCAGAGCGCTTTTGGGCATTTGGCGCTCGCTGAAAATTTCCTGACTCCGCTGACGGATGTAGCTTTCTATGCTTGCTTCATTGTGGTCTTGAATCGTGATTGTCGTAACAGCGTCTCCCAATCCCCGTACTATATCCGCTTCAGGCCGTGAACTCAAAATGATCCTTGCCTGTACACAAATCTCGGCAATCTTGCCAACTTCTGCAATAAGCCTACCGCGCTCGGCTTCGCTGATCTCATCGATGCCATCAATCACAAGGTAGACTGGCCCAGCGCAGTGGATGAGATCCGACAGAAGTTTGCCTGTAGCAGAAAGGTCGCTTCGTAAAGCTTCACTAGTTGATTCACAAATGATAGTTCTGAGATCTTCGTGTTTTTCGGCCAACTGGAAGATTAGTGAGTGAATGGTTGACAGCGCTGTGGTTTCGGCTTCTTCGTATGTCAAGAACGCGAAGGCTGTCATGGCCTCTGTCGTTTGTTGAAACCGACTGACAACCGCACTGGAGAGGAATGTCTTGCCTATATTCAGTCAGGTTACATTCAACGTCATTTCAACAAGATAGAACCAAAGTAATACGGTCACAAGATCTTCATACCTGCTCCTGGAATCCCTTTTATCCACAAGATTCTGGGCTCCTGTTCTACGCCGTTGATCCATTTCGAAAAGGTCGTATTGTCAAAGAGCCAATCGGCAGGTCCCTGGCAGCGAAGATCGCGAAGACGGTAGAGCTTGTTGTCGTATCTACTGGGGCTAAAAGATGTCTTGATTCGGTTGAACTCTTGGCGCGTAGTTGCAAGACGCTGGTCTCTGAAGCTTTCTAATGCCCTGTTCCGAAACTCTTCTTCTGCTTGGATCTGTACATTGTTTCCCATCAGTCTAGTGTGCCTTTCAACATGACATACGATTTCTTGTATGTGCAACTCGTATCTTGGCCAAAAGCTTTCAAAGACATGCATCCATTCTGGGCCGACAAATGATTAGTAAATTTTGATACATCAGCTTGATTTGGGAGGCATGATGAGAGTGGTGCTTACTGGGATGATTGAAAGGCTTGAGTATCTCAAGATAGATATCTATCAAGTCTTTGAAGAAGAGGAATAGGATCTCCTTCGTCGCAGAACTCTGATCGATTTCCATAAAGTCTGGCAACCTTTTCCCTACCTCAGCAAAGGCGCCTAAGAGACAGTCAAAAGCGTAATCCAGCGTCTTAGCCCACTGCAGAAGAAGTGCAAGTGGTCCCCAGATGACTGCCAAAACATTTCGACTTTTCGATACCACATCGCTGATGATGTTTGCAAAACCCTCGAGGCGTTTCAGATAAAGCTGTATCTTTGACAGGTTGCGGAGCCCACTATTCTGACGTTGCTCCTCTTGGAGACTGTCAGTGATTGTGTATAAATCACTCACCGAAGTCACCTCGAGTATCTGAACCCAAAGGTCGGGCTTCGGGAGTTTCTTCTCGAATGTGCGTGCGGCTAATTCGAATTGAGACGCAAGGTGATTGTCGACAACGGATGGACCATCAGCCAATTCGACTTCACGGATTGCATCACTTTGGTCTTGGGCGTTTTGGCTGTGGCCTATTTCAGTGCTCTTGGTCTCCTGCTGCCATTGGAAATCAGCCGACCGACGGAGAGAGCCCGGTAGTAAGTCCCATAGGCTGTTGATGCTTCGTACTAGGGGTTTATTGCCAGATCCATCGGTCCTGATATCCCTCTGCGATCTTTCCATCATTCGGAGTATATTTTTCAGGATATCCATAGACATTTCTATTTGCTCTAATCCATAGGCGGAAACAATGTCATTGTGTTGGGAAAGCGTGTTGCCCCATATCTTGAATCGTGTCTGTGCGTATCGAAGACCCTCAAGATGGCGCTGGGCTTGAGGATGAAGCTGCTCTTCTAACTTGTAGGTTTCTTGAAAGGTGTCTAGGATGGTCGAGAAGTACTTTCGTATGCTTAAATTAGACAAGCGCTGATGTAGAGTGTCCATGCTGGGCCTGTTTCGCGGTTCACGTTGGAGAGAATCAGTCGAAATCTCAAGCAGCTGGCGAGGCATCACCGAATCGGGTTGGTCGCGAATTAGGTCCTCTATCCACTGGCGGACCTCTTGCTTGAGGTCACCTTCAGGCTGATAGAAGACGGAATCCTTCCATTGAGGAAGCCTTGCAGGCATCAATCGCTTGGCGCGGAATTCTTCAACCCCCGACGGCCCCTTCAACATGTAGGTGACGACATCGATGAGAAGACAACCAAAGGCCCAAACGTCAATTGCTCGGCCCACTGTGTTTGGGTTTTCTTCCACGTCGGTGCACTCGGGCGCAATATAATCACCACATGTTGCCTTGTATCCAGTGTTGGAATGTACATTCTCCGGCTTCACTTTCCCCAGTCCGAAGTCGGCCAGAAGAAAGGTATCGGGCCCGACCAGGACATTTGGCGGACGTAGGTCATGATGATAGCCAGTGGCCTTCAAGTCAATGCCGTGCTTAACATCAGTGAGATGGAAATTGTGTGTTGTGGACAAGGCCGATGCAAGTCCCGCGAGCGACGAGTAGAAGGTGCAGTCCCATTTGAAGTCTCCATAGCGTACTTGCGCGCTCAGAAATTTCCAAAGGTCCAAGTCAATGTAGTGGAATAGTAAGTAATTATCCTCTAGGTACGTGTAGGAGCCCAGAAAAGGAATGATGTTGGGGTGCTCCAACCGATTCAGGAGTCGCAGGCAACTCTTCTCTCTCTCAAGCCATTCTGTTGCTCCGCCACTGTTGAGCTTTTTGAGTGCTACTTGTACCGTGCCAGTCTGATGACACAAGGTCAGCCGACGCCGAAGACAACAAGTTTAGATCATGTCAGACTTCAAAGTACTTGCCTTTGCATCCATGAAATCTTGCTGAGACGCCAAAATATTGACTTTCTTGACCTCACCGAATGCGCCGTTACCAACCGGCTCGACACTAATGAACGGGAGAATGACCCCTTTTTGTATTTCATGATGATGCTCGCACATGGTCTTTGAGAATTCATAAGGACAGAAAATCCACTGAAAAGTGTCAAATAGAAGATAGCCAACGTGTTTGCCTACAATGCGCTCCGCGTCAACTTCGCTCAGCGGGAGACGGCTATCAAGAAACCTGTGTTTGCGAAATTCCACAATCTGATCTGGGCATCTGCTATATATGAGCATGGCGAACACTCTTTTGCCCTCATTGTGTATAGTACTCGACAAGCTGATGCGGTCGTCTATCTTGCAATTCAGGTTCTCGACGGCGCGCTGGATTGTGGTGAAGCTGAATATTTCGTGGAGCTTGTCGTTAGGCAGAAAGGACTGCCCTGAGGTGGATTTGACGAGGCTGTTCCTTATCTGCGAACAGAGGGCATCAATGTATGATTGAGCTCCACCATCGCTCGGGTCCATGGTATTTGCTGTGCGACAGTGGAATTGAGATCATGACGATGGGGGATCGACCCGATGGTTGCAAGTAGAAGGATTCGGCTTTGCGCAATGCAAGTGAAGGAATCCCAGGTCATGGGGAGGGGAGATCTTGCACCGCCAGTCAGGCGCAGCCAATGACGTCGGGGCGAAGCCTGCAGCTACTCCTCTACCTGCATCACGCACTACAGATTACAGCTGATGCCTGAGGATAATTGATGTACTTCTGCGAGAAGCCCCCTTTGCTGTGTACCTACAGAGTACTCAAGGACTGAACAATTCATCTTCCCAAATCCCAGTCAAGACTTTTTCTCTGTCAGAAGTAGTGCTTGACAGGGACTATGGAAGGACTATTATTTCGTGGCCTTTCCCTTGTTTTTCCCCCCGTCTTTCTTTATTTTCTTTACCAATAGATCAGACTACTTCGTGACTAAAATTGCATTGATCATTAAATTTGTCGCTTGTTTCGTTAATTGCATAGTACAATGCATTCAATTCTCTTGTACTGCACAACACACAAGAAGGACTTTTATTGCAATCGCTTTTATTAGAACTTGTTAGCGTGGGTTGGTTGTTAAGGCTTTTTAGTGGGGTGTAGCCCTGATAAAATATACTTAGCCCAATATATCATCTTTTGACCACTATAAACGACCATCAACGTACGCACATAACCTTCTTTCAAACTCACTGTTTACACAACTGACCTTTTATCCCACCGTGGACGCCCAATGTCTTACCTTTTAGTATATAATGTGTTTTTTTTTTTCGAATGAGCATCTCGAACACTCGAGACTCATGCTGTTGGGCACCAATCCGATGTATACAATGCCGACCACGATGAAATGCAAAAGGACTCATTTACTTACAAATCAATGACTCACCTTTCAAGAGGCGAATGAAAACCCCATATCCGGAGAGGTGCGCATTCTGATACCTTGCGCATAGATGTAGACACTATAAACCTGGATTAGTGCGTGGCACTGGAGAAATTATTATTTCCTTGCACGATCGACCTCGTATTCATCCTGAAGGTACAGCAGCGCGTGATACAAGGTCCAGATATTGCTGTTGAGGCTGACGTACTTGATCCAGGGCGTGAGGTTGCCCTCGACGGCGCCGGCAATCTCACGGCCGCCGACGGTCGGGGTCTCACGGGGCGCGGCGGCGGCGGCGGGGTGCTGCCCGTCGCTGCTTCCCTTGGCCTCGAGGGGCAACACGTCGGCGTGTCCGGCCTGTGCCACGATGGCCAGGATCAGCTTGGCGTAGTGGCGGCTCGAGTTCCAGTGTTTATAGACGCTCGCGTCGGCTGGGTACTCGAGAGCCGTCCACACGGGGTCTCGCCTGTGCTCGAATACAAGCCGGTACACGGCCTCGAAATCGGGCCTTGGCAGAGTCAGGTCCCGCACATGGTAGTAATAGATGAACTTTTCGTGAAGCTGCTTGGAGAAGCCTTCTTTCTCGAGGTGCATGAGCAGAACAGAAACCTTCTGCGCACCAATGGCACCCTCTCCGAGATCCAACTCCTTGGACAGTCTAAGCCCCACGAATTCACGGGGGCTTCCCCAAATGACCACCGAAACCGCGACAAATTTCACCAATAGTTGTGTCTTTACGATTCGTTTCTGAGAAAACTCGCGGGGTAGGGAGATTTTCGTTGAAGAAGGCTGAAACCAGCCAAAGACGGACTTTCTTGGAGTAGAAGCCATAATCACGTTAATAAATCACAGATTAAGTGTTAATCGAATTTCCGAGGCAAGCGAAGATTGGTGAGCTTTGTGTTTCAAGTCCGATCTGAGTCAGCCTGTGTCGATCAGACAACCTCACGAGTTGACAAGTTTTATGACTTGATGAGCTGAAGAGTGTATGGGTTTGATGAGCTGAAGAGTGTATGGGTTTGATAAGCTGAAGAGTGTGTGGGGTTGATGATTTGATTGATGAATTGGTGAGTTTTGAGAAGATATCTTTCGAATCATGGGCGTGTCTTAAATAGAAAATATCTTGGCCATGGCACTCGTACTCTGGCCGAAAACAATCGCACTTTGTCTTTGTTACAATTTCTCGAAGCCCAATGTGATAACCTGTGATCATCGTAGCTCGATGCTTCACAAACGCATTGTCACTCATAACAACCACATTGTTTACATGCAGTGTGCTTATGGAGCTCGACCGATTATCCAGATTGTGGCGTATAGAGATCTAATCTACATCCGTCACATCACAACCCCGTTTGTGGTGGGTGAACAAGAACCATGCCATGACATAAAGAGCTCACAAAGGATGGTGGCTAGAACTAAACCATATGTGTACCATGAACTATTCTTTGCTCGTGGGAGGCTCCACCCATGCTGCCTGACAACACCTTTCTCGATGGCATGACAAGAGTTAATTGATATGGGACGTCGGGGTTACGTGAGATGACATGGAAATTCGTTGGATTTGCTTGACAATTGGTCTCAATACTTTTCAATGGGTCGAGGTATACAACCTTTTACCAGCTGACTAGATACCTAGTTGGACGGAACTACGATCAACTTTTGCCCGACAGAGACATGGTGCCCAAGACTGGTTTTTTTTTTTTCATACTTGTTTGGATGCGGTTTTTCAATCAAAGTGTAGTGTTATCTTATACAAGCCTCATGGAAATGCAGGGACCTCGGGAATTGCGCATAACTCGAGATGTCCACGTAACTATACTCGAGCCCTCAATTTAAGTCAGTCATACAGAGGCATTCTCAGTTGATCGCATTCACCCCTCGTTCACATGTCATTCATGCTTCCTTTGTAAGAAATTCCTCTTTTGTCAAGAATACCGCTTTTGTAAAAAGGTATCCAGCTCCTTCCAATAGCATGAAACTGGATACCCAGGTCAAACCAACCCTCGCTTCGACGTCCTATTTATGGCTAGTAGCCAAGCAGCGCTAAAAAGCCCATGGTGTTAGTAGACGACCACACACTAACCACCACCACCAAAACACCAAAACCACTGCACCCTTGCCCTGTCCCGCGATCCTACGGCCGCTTACCTGGGTATAGAAAGGAGCCATGAATCCTTCAAAGACTAGGATACCGGATATCGCGCCGATATTGGTTCATATATATTTGTTTCATAAGTGTTGAGTTGCACTCACTGAACTAATACAATTTTCGATTGTTACAGTCACTGAAAGAAATACGCAGCCGTCGACAGTGTACCTAAGCATGGTCCAGTATCACCCTCTGACCCCATCAAGGTCAGAAATTCGAGTTCTCACTCTACTGGGAGGCAAGCCCGAGGACGATGTAAAGTGCACACTGGGGATCGTCTCTCTCGACGAAAAACCAGAATTCGCAGCTCTATCCTATGTCTGGGGCGACGCATCAATCAAGAAACCCATCACCGTCGACGGCGAGACGTTCGAGGTCACCATCAACCTCAACGATGCCTTGCGGGCTCTGCGCCAGCGCCGGGAGTCGCGTACGCTCTGGGTAGACGCCATTTGTATCAACCAGACGGACACGGAAGAGAAGAACACGCAGATCCCCCTCATGGGCCGGCTCTACTCGGAGGCATCGTCCGTCGTCGTCTGGATGGGCCCCTTGAGCCGCAACATGGAACTGGCCATCTCGTGGGCACAGACATACGTAGCCAAGACGTACAACCAAGCCTCAACGTACTGGCTTAAGCTAGACGCCAAGGCCAAGTTCTCCAAGACGGCGAAACGCGAAAAGGACTGGGCCACTCTCGGGGCCCTCGAGGGGTTCTGGGAAGTCATGTCTTTGTCCTATTGGAGTCGAATGTGGACGTTTCAGGAATTTCGTCTGCCACCTCAGGAGCCCATATGCCAGTGCGGGCACATGACATTTTATGCCTCATCCATGCTTGGACAAGCCGAGGAGGCCCTCGTGACAGCGGGTCAGGAGGCCCTGTTCAAGTTCGGTGCGCTGGCAAAGACGTGGAGCGGTAGGCCTCTGACCGACGAGGAGGGGCAGATGGCCGACGACTTTATTGCTGCCAACAAACGAATCAAGGCCAAGAGCAACTTTGCTCGCCAAAACTCCATCGTCTCTCTCACGAACGCCCGATCGGACTGGCGTACCTATGAGAGCCCGCTCCTATACCTCTTGATGGCCACCGCCGAGCGGCAGTGCTTTGACGCTCACGACAAGATGTACGCCCTGTACGGCTTGGTACCGGCGGCGCAGGAAGCCATCCCGGTGGATTACAAGATGCCACTTCGCGATCTCGCTGTGGAGACAGCGGCATTTCTGATCAAGCATGAGCGCGGCGCCCTCATCTGGAGCAGCTTTGGCCTGCGTGACGGCAGGCTCTCAGGCGCTCCCGAGTTTCCGTCTTGGATGCCCGACTTTACCGACGCTGAACGAATATCGCCTAGGGTCCACCGCGCCAAGGAACGTGTGGCCGAATGTCTCTGCCGCTGGGACGAAGCGCCAGCTGCGGAGATCGTTGACGATCTCACCACGGTACGGCTCTGGGCCAGAAAACTTGGTCCGATCCAGGTAATTCATCGATTCGAAGGCGGGCATGATGGTATGCTAAAGCAGGTCCGACGCCTGGTTCAACAAAGCAGCAACGACCTTTTGCAGCAGCACCCAAAACTTTCGATTCGAAAGCCAGAAAATCTCGGTGCAAGGATGGCGTCCATGTGCTTTAACCACGGCGGCCGCCGTTTTGACTTTGACGTGGATTCGCTTCTGGAGGCTCTGCGCTACGATGACCCCCCCGATCTACCTGCAGATAACACCATCACACAATGTTGGTACATGATCGAAAGCGTGAGTAAACTACTGGCGGGAAAGGCCTTATTCCTCGTGGAAAATAGATCCTTCGGCATTGGGTTGGGTGACATGCAGGACGGAGATGTCCTAGTAATTCCTCCGCAGGTCAGACATCCGCTTGTCTTGACCAAAAATTCGTCAGATGGTTATCTCCGAATGGTGGGGACGGCCATTGTTGATGGCGTCATGAATAGCACGTTTCTTGACGATGAATTGGTCAAATCGATCGAGAACCAAGCCTTGGAAGAATTCCTAATACACTGATTCCGTTATGGCACTGTGTGGAAAACAAAGTATACCCAGGAGTATTGTTTGATAAGTAGGGTAAAAAATGATACTTTGAAATTGATACTGTCTCGAAGCGGGCTGGTAACTCTATTTGGCACGTCAAGCCTGCTTGAGCTGTTCTTCTGAATCACCTTCTGCCCTCCACTCCTTTTTGCCATACGTATGATGAATCTCGTTGGTGTACACATCTTCATCTTTGCCTTCATATACAATGTCCTTTCGGACAAATGCGCGAACATGGTTAACAAGGATAAACAGGTACAGGGCGACAAGAAGTATGGTCATGATGGTACCAACCCACTCGACGCCAGGGCTATCAAATTGCTTGCCAATAGTCAGGGTGGCAATGGTGAAGCCGACATTGGGAAAGACAAAAGCCCACCAGCTGAGCGAAAAGGTCATTTGGCGGCAGACGGCCAGACATGCCACAACGGCTATGGCCCAAAACCAAAAGCTGAGCGACCAGATGAAGACGGCCGTCATGGTCGCCAGGGTCTGCACAATCTGCAGCGTCACGTCGGCATCGCCAAAATAGGTGTATGACGTCGGGAAGGCGTTTGCCATGCCAATGATGGCCAGACTGGTGAATGCCGGAGGTCCCACGGCAATGAACATGCCTGAGCGCGAGTTAGGCGACGGAAAGCCATATTGGATCATCCGGTGGACTACACACTGTTAGTGGAATCCTAGAAATGTCTCGGATGAATAGAAAAGTACATACTGTAGCAAGCATACATCAGGATTGATATTATCATTCCCAATCCCTGCGCAGTAAGCCCGGCGACTATCATGGGAACGGCGTGTACCGGTGGCTGGTCAGCGGCCCCTACCGACGCAATAGTTCCAGACAGCATAAAAGGGAAAATGGGCAGATCCCAAGCTGGCGTCATGTCCTGTATCTTGAGTGCCGGTGAAGTGAAGAGCAGCGAGTACTGTCCCACGGCGATCATGAACGTGACGGCAAAGTAGATCCAAAACAGCACGCGATACGCCACAACGAGCCAGGGGCCACATTCGGGAATGCCATAACGAGCTATGCCCGCAATGATGGACGCCAGGCTCAGAGCCGACGTGCCCAGGAACAGTCCCTCGGTTGGATGAGTGATGGAAGCCTTGAGCGTGCCGCGAAACTTTGTAAACCGGTAAATCATGGCGGCTGTGACGAGAGTGAAGATGACAAGGTCGTATATGTAAACGACCTTGCCGATCGTCTGCAAACCTCGAAAGTTGAAGGCTTGGGTCTTTTCCGACAAAAGCAGGCTCAGGCCGCCGGTCGACATGGGAAAGGTGTAATTGGCCCATGTCCAGTGCTCTAGGCGGTTCAGCAACTTGTTTGGATCGCGACTCCGTAAATGTCCATTTTGTTCGTGTTGGCCTTCGTTCCCCATCTCTAATGATTGGTTTGTCAGATTTTGTTGGATTAAAGTCGGTAATACAGCCAAAGTATCGACTCGAGATAGAATGCTACTCTGCTAGCGCTTTGTCGACCTCAATCGAGCAGTCTGTGATGGATTGACTGCTCTTGCGACGCCGAGTCTTTGGGTCGCTCAACTGAATGAAGTCGGGCAACGAAAAGCTCAAAACCGTACGACAGCGTAACTTCCCCTCCTATAACACCATTCCGCGAGCCCCGGGCTGCATTGGCCCCTTCCCCCGTCCAATCGGTTAGCTAGCAGCTGCACCATAAGGCTGAGATTGGCCCATGACGTGAAAGATCGTTGAAACTCAATCAAGTCGCAGCTGCAACTCTGATCCTTCCCGCCTTTTCCCGACTAATGGGGAGCCTTTAGTGAGAGAGATCCATAAACAAAGACATAATTCAGAGCGTTCAACGGCCATATTGTGCCGTTTGCATTCGGTCCGGAAGTGGAGATTTTTACCAACATGACGCAGGTCCCAGGTTTTGGGCGCTTGCTGTAGCACCTGTATACAATTACGACATTGCGGGTTCTAGGTCGACAGATCCTGCAGGTCCAGAAATTCTAGGATTGATATAGTTCCTGACGGCCCGCGACCGTTTCAGAAGAAATTCACCGGATAACATTGAATTCAAAAGTCTCGATTGCAGAGTGGACACCGCCAGCTCACTGATTGTCAAGGAATTGTTCTGGGCGCTGCGTTCTTGGCATGCCACATGGCGCGATGACGTCAGCCGGCGCTTACAAGCTTGATTCAAGAGGTCAAATTCAGGGACACAATTGAAAAAGATAAGCAAGGCAATGATTTTTCAGTTGTAGTTTCATTGGATATTAGAATGGATTATATCTCGAGACGCTCAATTCTACCGAATCATTGTATAGTTTTCTTCGTCACTCATCCAATTGACCACAAGTGCAGCTTTTGCCTATAGTCCAGCAGCTTATACGCGTCAACCAACCATAGAAGCAACTCATTTGTAATTACAGCATCATCACAGGCACCAATTACTTCATCACCATGAAACTCAAGCGGATCTCCAATCTCGGCCCGTTTGCCGCGCTATTCTATGCCTCTGCCGGCGCAACCGAGACGTCAAAGCGCGGGCTGGCCTACTCGGGCGACGACATAGAGTCCGACATGAACCTGCTCACCTCGGACAAGTCCCCCATCTCGTGGTACTACACCTGGAGCCTGAACCAGGCGCCCGGCGTCAACGCCACGGCAGAGTTTCTCCCTCTTCTGCCCACCACCGACGAAGCGTCGAATTCCGACCTGGACTCGATCCTCGGCGCCCTGCCGGCCTCGTCGACACACCTCCTTACTTTTAATGAGCCCGATGGTACTACCGACTCGGGCGGCAGCTCGCTCGAGCCCGAGGATGCCGCTCGTGCGTATATTGACTACATTACGCCGCTGCGGACTTCAGATTCCCGGACCTGGAATATCAGCCACCCGTCGGTAACGGGATCGTCGCGCGGCCTCGAGTGGCTGCGGAATTTCAACGAGTCATGCTACGATATAGACCCCGAGTCGGGCTGTCCCTATGACTTTGTTTCGGTGCATTGGTACGGCGACTTTGCGGGCCTGGCGTCGTGGCTGGGCACGCTGCGCGAGTTTTACGTGACCAACTCATCGGGCGCCGACGAGGACCTGGCCTTCTGGGTCACCGAGGTCGCGCTGCCGCAAGAGGACGAGGACGCCACCGTCTCCATGCTCAACCAGAGTATGGTATACCTCGACGGCCTAGACTGGGTCTCGGGCTACGCGTGGTTTGGCGCGTTCCGAACTGACGACGCCAATGACTGGACCGGCAGCTCGGTCGCCATGTTTGATGATGATGGCGGTCTTACCGAGGTCGGGTCGCTGTACATGGGCGGAGAGGAGAATGGGTTTGCCGAGGGCACAAAGGGAGAAGGAGACTCCTCGGCCGCCGCGTGTGCTTTTGTGCCCAGTTGGATATTGGCCGTTGCTGGCGCGACAGCCATGGCTTTGATGTTATAGTAACGGGACGAGATGAGACGATGTAAGATGATTGACGAATAGAACGAAAAGTGCACGCGACCAGAGCACTAAGAGATTATACAAATTTTTGCATTTGCATATTTGAGCGAGACCATATACCCTATTTTCAGATAGCGATATACATAACAGACAATTATATTCTATAGTTTTCCAGGTATACGGCCACATTTCTTGGCGTGGCGTTATTAACCAATTATACGGCTATATTTAAATAAAATCGGGCCCGATCGTTTTATTTTTTGCGGCTTTAAACTTTTTTTACGCCTTTAAAATAGCTTTAAATTTAAATATATTAAATAAAATAATACTTTCCGCTATTATTTATTAATTTGTATTAAATTTATATTTTTTAATATTAATTTAATATTTTTATAACGTTATAAAGGCGTATTTTTTTAATTTGCTTTTACGCTATTTTTAATCCTAAAACGTAGTTTTTTTAGCCGTAAAATATACCGTTTATTATATTCGGTTTATATTTATTAATAAATATATTTTTACGGTAATTTTCGGTAATTATTCGTAAAATTATATTATTTTACGATTTAAATTTAATTTAAATAAAATTAAAATTTACCTTTAGGCGAATTAGGAAGGCTTTTATTTATTTTTTTAATTTTTATATTCCTTTTTTTTTTATAAACCTTTTTTCTCCTTTTTTTTACGTTTTTTTGCGTTATACGTTTTTTATTTGCTTTATTTTTTTTTATAATAATAATATTTGCTTTTTTTATTTATATGCTATTATTAAAATATATTTTTTACCGGTTTTTTTAAATTAATGCTAACGTTTAATTTATAATTATAAAATTTAAATTATATATTTAGGCCTTAAAATATACGCAAAAAAAGGCTATTTATACCTATTATTATTTTTTTTATATATATAAAATAAAATTAAAAATTTTAAATTGCTTTTTAGCGTTATTTTTTATATTTTATTTTATTATAGGAAAATCGCTTAAAAGCCGTGCCTAAAAAGGATTATTTTTTTTATTTAAATATAAATTTGGTTTACGGGCGATATAAAATTAAAAAAAGCGCCCGGAGCTTCCCGGTACTCGCTTTTAAGCGAATTTTATAATATTTTATATATTATACGGGTCCGAATAAGGCCTATTAGCCGGATATTAAGGCGAAAAATAATTAAAAACGTTTTTTATTACGGGTTATATAAAAATTATATTTTTAAACGTAAAATTTTAAAAAATATTATTAAATAATAAATATATACGAAATTATATAAATATATTTCGGTAGCTATTATTATTTAAAATATTTTTTTTTCTTAATAAACTTTTTTTAAGCGATATAACGGCTTTTCGAGCGGCTATTTTATAAGCTAAATTTATTACGTTTATTATTAATTTAATAAAGGACGAATCGGCTATTAAATTATTTATATGCTTTTTATTTAATATATTTTTAATTAAAAATAAAACGGCTATAATCGAAGCTAAACGGGATAAATAATTTTAATCCGACGTTAATAAATATATTCGAATATAAAATATAATTATAAATTTTAAAAATAATAACGCTAATTAAATTAAGGTTAATAATGCTAAATTTATTCCGTTAGCGGTATATAAGCTCGAAAAATTATTTTTTATAAAAAAAGCAAAAAATAAAGCTTAGTTTTTTTCGGGCCCGAATAAAACCGGATTAAGCCGCCCGCGTAATATTTAAAAAAATATTAAAGCTAAAATAAATAAAATAAAAAAATATAATTTTAGTATAAAGCGGTAAATTTTAAACGAAATTAAACGTTATATTACGTAATAATCCGTTATAAATCGCGCTTTTATAGGTTCGGTATTAATAAAAATAATTACGCCGCTATATAAATAAATAAAGTTTATTAAAAATAAATTAATATTAACGCTTAAAGCCGCGCTTTTAAATTTTTATATAACCCGTAAATATACGGCCGCGAAGGCAAAAAATAATAATAGCGATAATTTAAAGGCTTTCGTATTTATTAATAGCTTAAAGCGCTTTAAAAAATTAGCAAAATAATTTATTTTTTTCGATTTAGCGAAAATATATAAATAAATAAACCGGGTTTAGGTTTTTTTTATTAATTAACGTTTTGCTATTTCCGCTTATATTTAGCGTTTATTTTTATTTATATTAACGTATTATACGATTAATATTATATTTTATTTATATTAATTACCGGTTTATATACCGATAAAATCGTATTAGTTTATAAATAGCTTTTTTATATTATATTTAGCCCGATATAACGCGTTCGGTTATATATACGCTTTTTTCGTAAAATTTATAAATTTATAATTATTATAAATTTTTTTTAATATCTATATTTATTTATTAATGCTATAGCTTTATTAAAGCTAACGTATAAATAGCGTATATATAGCTATTACGGCCGCGATTAATTTTTTAAAAAAATTAAATTTAACGTAAAAAATAATTTATATAAAAATTATAAAAAAAATATTAGTTATTATAGCTTGCCTAATAATAAGCGGCGCTTTGCTTTTTAATCGATTTTTTCCCGCGATTTTTCGATTTTAAAACCTTTTAAACGAGCCCGGCAAATGCCTTTTATTATATAAAACTTTATTATTAATAAAAGCTTAAATAAATAAAGCCCGGCTACGCTAAAAAATAAATATAATTTAAAATTATTCGATTTTTTGCTTATAAATTTAAATAAGCCCGATATCGATTAAAAAATATATATTAAGGCTAATATAGCTTTTTATAAATAAAATTTTAGCCTAATATTCGCGCCCCGGTACCTAAATTTAACGGCTAAATATATCGTATAGCTTTTTATTAATAATCTGTTTACGGTTTTTAACGATAATATTAGCGTTATAATATATTAATATAATTATTATAACGCTTTTTATTAAAAAAATAAGGCTATTAAGGCTAAGCGTAGCAAAAGCTTTAAATTTAATAAATATTATAATAACGGCCGAATCGTTTTTTAGCTATTTTTAAAACCGCCCGGTTTTTTTTAAACGCTATTTTCCGGGCGCAACGCCCGTAATAAGGCGTTTCGTAATATTTTACGGTAATATAATACCGCTTATTCGTTTATATTTATATAATTTCCGGTATTATTTAAATTTAAAATATTCCGATTTAATAATAATAATTTTAGCTATTATTATATATAAAATGCTTTTTATTATAAAACCGGATTTTTATAATTATAGGCTAGGTTTAAGCCGACGTATTAGCAATTATATTTTTTAAATTTAAAAAAAGCCGTATTAATGCGAATAAGCCTAAATAATAGCTTTAATTTAAATATAATAGCCTAATTATTAAATTATTTTTATTATTATAATTTATATATAGAAATTTACGCGATTATTTAAAAGCGTTTTATTTAAATAATCGTCGAATAACGCTATTAAAATTTAAACGGCGAAGCCTTACGGGTTATTTTAAACCTTAATTTTCGTTTAATATTAGAAAAAAGCGTAAATTGCCGGCGGGAAAACCTTCCGGTCGCTAACGATATTATTAACTTTTTCCCGGATTATACTAAGCCTAAACGCTAACGTAAAATAATTTTAGCGGAATATAACCCCGAAAAATTTACGTTAAAAAAGATTTTTATAAAATATTTATTATATATACCGCTTATATACGTTTTAATATAGCTAAATAAAAATAAAAGGTTCGAAATAAATTTAAATAAACGCGGGCCGTTAAAAAAAGCAAAAAATATAATAATTATATAGAAATAATTCTAATATTATTTTTATTATTAAAAAAACGGCTAATCGGTTTTATTCGCGTTCGAAAAGCTATTTTAATAATTCGTTATTAATATTTAGGTTATTACGAAGCAAAACGCTTTTTAATATATTAAAAATAATTAAAATAAGGTTTATATCGATTTTTATAATAGCTTTAAAAATGCTTTCGCGTTTAATTACCTTAATTTAGGTAATTTAAATATTAAAAGCATTTATTTATCCGTATTTTATATCGGAAATTTATATAATATATACCGTTATTATTAGGATTTTATATTTATAACGCGTTATTTAGGTAAATTTATATTTTTCGTTATTTTTACCGCTAATCCGAATTAATTAAAAATAAAGCGTAAATTATTTTTAAGGTAAACCGTTAATAATCGGCCAAATATTAGCGTTTGTGTTTTAGATTTAAAACGTAAAAAATTATTATAAAATATTACCGAGCTAAATTGCTTTAATAAATACGCTAAATATATATAAATTATCGAATATTAAAAGCGTAATTTATTTTATATATATTTATTAATTTTTTTAAAGCTTACGGATCGCGATTAATTACTAAATCCCGCGAATATCGATAAAATAATTCGAATAAAAGTTCCCGGTCCCGATATTAATTTTAACGGCGTTTTTCGCAAAATCGTTTTTAAATTTATAATTTATAATTTTTATTTTACTAAAAGGCATAAAAATTTAAATACCGTCGTTTATGCCTTTTTATATATAATAAATAGCAAATATTTTAAAAAATTCTTAAAAGCTTATTTTTCGGAAACCGTAATTTACGAAAATAGCTATTTTATATATCGGCGACGCTTTATAAAAAATATTCCGGGCTTAAATAATAATATAAAAGGCTTAAAAAGCGTTAATAATTATTAAATAATATTTTATAACCCGTATTTAAACCGAAAATATTAAACGTATATTAATATTAAAATATATATTATTATAAAAGCCGTAAAATATATATATAAATATATATATAAAAAATCCGATTAAATTATAATAAGGCTTAGTAAAGATTTATAAGTAAAGGATAAAATTACGGATTATATTTTTAATAGGTATATTAAGCCGTATAAGGCTTATTAGCGCTTATTAAAATTTTTTACGTATAATTTATTTTCGGCCGTTAAATCGTTTAATATTTATTTATTTATTTAGGATAAACTAACGTTTAAACCTAAATTAAGTAAGGCTATAGTTTAAAAAAAATTAATAATA